TTCATTTTCAAATAAAAACATAATATGTTCTATATTCATTTTTTATTGTAATCAGAACATAAATATTAAATTAACAAAATATTTTCTCACGTAACCTTATTATACGCCAAATACCATATAGATATGTAGGTGAGGATTATAAGCATACATCCAGTATATGAAAACCGCTCATCGAGCGCTCACAAATAGCTGCTCACTGAGCGCTCAGTAAGCGATTGTAGTACTGAATGCACCTATTGATTTAAGAGATACACGGACTTTTAAAAAGTGCTGGGGTCAATTTGATCCCCTTTACAGTGTAAGGGTTAATATATCACAAATAAATTCTTAAGTATTGTTTTCCCAGTATATAAATCGTACTGATTATGCTGTTGTATATAATGTTGCGAAAATATTCTGAGTATAATACCGTCCAATTTGACCGTACGACGATATTTCTGAAAATCGCGTCTGAAACTATCAGAGCATTAGAAGCGACGTAGTTTCGTCTTTTTCGTAATCACTCGGCGGATCTGCGCTCTTTCGGCGAAAATATGACCGAAGCAATTATAATGGCGCATGACGTAGTAACCAATCGAAGCTCATTGGCAAGAACCTCTTTCCTCTTCGCCCAGCATCACCTGATTACAATTAACAGGTCTATAACGGTCTTACGCCAAACTGGTGTTCTAATTACCTCCGCAAATACGGACGATGTTCGCGCGAAAATGACACCTGCGACGTGTAAGAATACTACCGATACCTTATTTTAGCACGTACTCGTTAACGCTTCGCCCACGTTCGGCTTCGTGTTACACTCGAAGGGCTTGACCAAACTCCGCGTTCTCAACTAATACCGAAGTATCGACCTGAGAGTTCACGTCTCTCGCTATTAGTCCTTTCTCTTGTCTCACTCTGAGACTAAAGTCCCATGGCATGTATTTTTCGCATACCGCGTAAGCGCGTAATCAATAAATTGCGACGTTTAGTATTTATGTTTTAGCTTTTTCTGTTTAGTATTTCTGAAGTTTTAAAAGAATAGAAAGATGTGATTGGTTACGCGGTTACGTGTTACGAAAATATGTGCCATGGGACTCCACCCTCAGTGTTGCCGGCGGGAAGAAAACTTTAGTATCAGAAAAATGTACCAGATTCCGTCAAAATGTACTAGACCTATGTCCTTTTTTATTTTTGTTCATTGCGTATATCGGACATTATTATTAACTTAAAAAATATAATAAAAAGTTGCCTGAAAATCACAAATATAAATCACAAAAATAACATATATAATATGATATATTCATTCTATCAAATATACAAAAGATTTGTTTAGAACGAAATTGCTTACCTTTTTATGTTATTTATAAAAAAGTAGAAATAATCTAGTTGAAAAGTAGTTTTTAATAACAGTTTACAAATTCTAATTTTGTTACTAAGATGCTAAGCTTATTTTAACTTAATTGACTTTTAATATTAGGTACCACATAGCATTCGCAATGATGTTAAATTATTCTCGTTTCTATATTTCTGTTTTCTATTTCTACAACATATAATGAGAAGCGAGAATAGAATGACACCTAGCGTCAGTACGAGTGCTGAGCGAAACATAATCATTAGAAGATGAATACACGTTAGGGGAAAAGATTTCTAATTGACTATCTGGGGTGCTATTCCGTTACCGTGGTTCCGATAGTTGTCGGATCAGTAGGTGTCGTTGCGCAGTTTTTCCACGGTATAAAAAAGCTGCGCAACGACGCCTACCGATTCGACAACTGTCGGTATGCGGGAACGGAATAGTACCCCTGGGCTGTGTTTTAAAACTCTATTTAACGGGTAAGGTAGTATTTAAATGACCAATCAGAATAAAGATAACTACGATTTCTTTGTCATGATCCCATACAGAACAAATATCTGAAATACATCTCATGGATATCTTATAGATATCGCGATATCTACAGGATATCCATGAGATATATTTTGGATATTTGTTCTGTGTGGGATTGATTAATTGAATGTTACTCTACTTGCCGAGTAGGATTTTGGAACGCAACTCTGGTGAACCAAAAAGTACCAAATATATTAAGACTAGCCCTATTTGTACCAATTTTATGCATTGTAGTACTAACGTACCAATTGTGAAGAAAAAGTACCAAATCTAGTACAAATATACCAACTCCGGCAACATTGGTGACTCACTCTTGTTGTCTGGTAATATAACGGCAGACGTAGAGAAGTAATCAGAAAAAAAAATTAGAGAATAATGATAAGAATAATGATAAGAATAATAGTAAGAGGTAAATAACGAAATGTTTGGTTGTGCAATAAGTCATTTCAGATTTTTCAAATGTCATAAAACGATTATACTCCCACGTTATAATTTTACAATATAATGTATATATGCAAAAAATCATAGAAGATTATAGATCAAAACAACACATACATTGTTTCATAAGATTATAACGATATGAAAATAAAATCGTTTCATTTTATCTGAACAATAAATTAATTAAAATTAATTATTAATTAATTATTACACAAATTAATAATAATTAAAGCATGACAATACAAATGCCTTCCTTCTTTTTTCGTATGACTAGTATACAGAAATAAAAATATTTGAAACTTTATTTATCGGATATAAAGTTTATTTCCCTGGGTAAACTTTATATTCCATAAATAAATTTTTTCGAGTATTTTTTTCTCGGTATATTGGTACGCATTATTACGTATACTGAGAAAAAAAATACTTAAAACTTTAAAATTTTATTTGCCGAATATAAAGTTTATTTCCGTAGATAAATTTTATATCCCATAAATAAATTTCCAAGTATTTTTTCTCAATACAGAAAGAATATTAGTTGTTCTTGTTTATAGAAATTCTTTTCTGTATTTCTACTAGTGCAGGAGGACACTGTTAATAAATAAGTTTATCTTGCTGAGGAACATAGTAAGTTTCGAAAAGAACACAGTCAGTGGCGTAGCCAGAAAAAAGCTTCACGGGGGCTTACTTTTTATTTTTGACGAGCAAAAAAAGGTCATTCGAAAAAATTTGTCTCACACTTAGCGTAACCTAGAAAATTAATTTCGGAAGGGCGGCTGCAGCCCCCTCAGCCCTGGCTACGTCACTGAACACAATACACTTTTTAATACCACACTTCAAAGTTCATATACTGAGAGAAATTATTCGATAAAAAATTAACAAAATTAAAAAAAATTAATATTTCCGATAGAAATACTGATGAATTTTTGTATCCGATCAGGAAACACCCGATGAGAAATATCGATTCATAATTTTTTTTTTGATCGGTTTATCTGATAAAATGCCATTATATGATCAGGAGTATCCGATTAAATCTAATCGGATATCCTGATCAGATATAAAAATTGATCGGAATTTGATCGTAAATAACCGTTAATTTCAGATTATCGGATAATTTCTCTCAGTGTAAGACATAAATAGCGTATTTATTATCCTTTCATGAAAAATGAAAGAATAAAAAATTGCTGTGGAATGTCGATTTATTCCTCTATTACAAAATTTAATAATAACTCTTACCATGAAATTCTCTCCCTGTATATACTTATGAATTAGCGTTAGCTTATTTCTCTCTCTTTTTCTTTCTCTCTTTCTCTATCTCTTTCCTTCTTGTTGTTTCGTAGGAAAGCCACGAGGACACCAAAGTTTCACAAATGATTTCGGAAGGAAGACGAAACGACGACACTACCCACTGTCTCACGCGCACTTCGCCCATTGTTCCTTGTCAGCCTCCTGATATTTGGGTTAAAAGTTTAATTCGCCGCCGGGCTAGAGCAGCGATTTTAATTCGAGTTTCTGAACCGGGCGTGCCGCGCCGCGCCGCGTCATCCGCCGCAGCCTACGTTCAGTTTGTGCGCAGCCACGAGAGATACTCTTCAAATTTTCATTCCCTCATTTCCTCCGCCTCACTCTATCGGCGTCACGCGACGTAACAAGCGCTTTGTCCATTTATTTATTGCGTCCGCGTGTCTTTTTCGCACGGTCTTTCCTTCCCGTAAGTCGTCACAACTTCCGCCATCTCGGGGCGGAGACGGATCTTCAAGTTCTCCAGCGTTTTCTTTTAGATTCCTCTCTTAAATTTGTGCTTGATTTCGATGTACTTGGAATAATTTTTTTAAATTAATTTCCAAACGAAAAGATTAATCTGCGGACTTTTGAAAAATTATAAATGTGTCGTTCTTTTGCTTCGCAATTTTTCATTTATTGAAAGAAAAGATATTGAAGGTTCTGGCAGACAATCAGTGAAGATAATGCATGAAGAAAAAAATAAATATTAACATTAAAGTGATACGAATGAATGTATTCTGGTTAAGGAGAACAAAATTCCTGATTCTCAAGAAACAAATTTAGAACCAGACATTTTGTTTCCTTTAACTAAAACGCATTTTATTGTATCACTGTCACGTTGATTCACCCGTTAAATTCAACTAGTATTTCACTGAGAAAAAAATATTTAAGGATTTATTTATGTAATATTAAATTAATTTCTGTGAAATAAAGAAAATTTTAATCACACTGAGAAAAATATTTGAAAATTTATTTGTGAGGTATAAAGTTTATTCACAAAGAAAGAAATCAATTTTATTTTACAAATAAACAAACGTTATATCCTACAAATAAATTTATAAGTATTTTTTCTCAATGTAATTAATACTCACATTGAGAAAAAATATTTGAAAATTTATTTGTAGGATCTAAAATTTATTCACAAAAATAAATTTTATTTCACTCAAATAAACTTTATATTCCACAAATAAATCTTCAAAAATATTTTCTCTCGGTGTAATTAAAATTTTCTCTAAGATAACCGGTAACCAAAATTAACTATATATATAAAATCATAAATGATTTTGTTAATTGAAAACATTAATTATTAATCAAATTTTGATGTGAGATTAATTATACGCTTATTAATAATAAATTGCACCAATCAGTAAAATTATTCGCAATTACATATATAATGTTTGATGAATTTTGATCAATAATTTGATTATTTCGATTATTTTAGTCAAAAAGAATTTCAATCGAAAATTTAAGGTCCTACACTGGATTCAACTAACTTGAAATTATCACGGACAACATCTAGCAATAGTTGTTATTAACCAAATAATTCTGCTTTTGTAGGAAAAAGGGATTTTTCCAACTCTTCTCTTTTCTAATGTTCCTCCATTTTAGGTTTCCTGACAATTTTTTTAAGACCTAGACAAACATCTGATGAGAAATCCAGGACTGTCTACCAAAGTGAACACATTCGCATTAGTACGTTGCCCTTATATCGAAAAATAGATTGTTATCAAGTATTTACTCGACAACATCAGCCAGCGAATCGAACTCGGTATAATTCGGCGGTGTAATGAACGGCACATATCTCATTAAATTGATGGATCCCGGCGCGTTGAGGAATTTCTACGAACACGTGGATTTATTGGATTGACTTTGCATCGATCTTAGTCAGTACAGGTCGCGGTAGCGCGCGCGTACAATTGAACAAACAAATGTGCCGTCGCGATCATCGTCTAGCCAGCCAAGAATTATGACTGTCGTAACATCGCATCGCTACGTTTCAATTTGCTGACTACAATAATAGGTCTACTAGTCCTTGACGACAGTCCTTCGATGAAGCGCGTGAAAAAGCGCGCCGGAGGTCTTGAAGGTACGACTCATTAAGCGAAAACTCCTGACGCGGCTCGCGCATCTGACGACGTAATTTAACACGCCTACGTTGATGTATCAGGAGTCTTAATTTATGACGATCACAATCGATCATATGCTCCGCCATAAATCGATGATATAGGGTAAGTGTCTCCCCTTCTCTCTCTTTCTCAAATTTAAAAAAAATTATATTTCTTAAAGACAGACTTTTAATTCAAATTTGTTTATGGTTTTCTCCGTGTTCACTAAATGTCGGCGTGATTTCTCGTTTGCCTATTTATTTATGCGAAATGAAATATATTCTGTTTAGATACCACACATACACACACATATATATATATATATATATATATATATATATATATATATATATACATATATATACAGGGTGTCCTAGAATACTTTCGAAGCTTTCATGGAGGCATAGTACGGATTGAGGTAGACATACAAATTCTAAACTGTTTTGTGATATTCGCAATAATTATCGAGATATTAATTAAAGTAGATCTGTGAATGATCACGCGAGATATGGTAGTGGCGATGTCTGTCATCGTGTGCTTATACATTAAGTTAAACTGAACAAAAAAGTCATCTACCATTTTCCTAATATAACTTTGTAGATTTTTAATTATTAATTAAAGAAGATTAACTGTCCCTCGCGATAATAATGTTATCTAATGAATGATATGTTATCTAATGAATGACTAATATTATCTAATTAATTTATATATATATATATATACACACACGCGAAATAAAATACTTAAATTATTCCTCTACAATTGTAAACGCGAAATCAATGATAAATTAGCATTTTATAAATATTCAATGCATATTCACAAATTATTTATGGTTGTGTCATTCGAATATAAACGTACCATGAACGTATTATGAACATATAACAACGTTTTTATAGTACATTCATGAAACATACAAACATTCCCAAATATTTGTATAACATTCATGTACTATCTTAATTATGATGAACTGAGGATAGATTTGCGGATATATAAATTTATGAAATACGTGAAACAAATGAGATTAACTTGAATGTAGCATGTGTTTTTCTGTGTGCACGATCGCAGACGGATAATCGGATTAGGATTTTCGAAGAGTCGAGATTTCGAGTTCCGCTCTCGCTCGAGTCCGCTTAATAACGCTCTTCATCAATGGGAACCTTTACTCGGCCGGCCGAGGGTCAATTGCTTATTAACTCAGAGAGCGGTGGCGGCTATTAAACGATTTCATTGTCATTGAAATTGTTTGCAAAAAAAGCGACAACTGTTGCGCTCACGCGGCGGAGACGCGCGCATCTCTGCGTTCACTCGTTCAATCTTCCATTCGCGTCCCAAAAACTCGAAAGGAAGGAGCGATCGCGCGATTTTTGTCTACTTCCAGCGCCGCGCTTTGACGTTGACCGCGTTCCTTGCGCAATTGCTTGGCATGCACAGAAACTAAGAATGGGATACTCGAAACCTCGAAACTCTTCAAGTTTCTCGAAAGACTTCAAGTTTCAAGTTTCCTCGAAAGACTTCAAATTTCAAAACTTCGCATTTTTTGTAATTCAAAATTCTCTAAATCTGAGACAGAGATGCTAATTTCAGAATACAACAGGTCGCTAAAGTATATAGATAGCGTACTAAACTAATAGACGACCTGAAAAAAGTTCGGATAGAGTTAGTGCTTTAAACAAAAACCTTGACTAAATTTTCCTTGACTAAAGTAGTTTATAATAGATAAAAACTCTAAAAAATTCAAAACTTCATCTAATTTTAGTTTTTCTTATATTTAGAAATAATTATTTTCATCTAGTTTGCATATAATTATTTTTAATATTCTATATAATTACTTAATATTTTATCTAATTATATTTTATAAAAAAATTCTACTAATCATGTTTAACTAACATTCTATTTAATTATGTCTAATAAATATTTAAAACTTGATTTTCTGAAAGATTAAAGATTTTAAAGATTTAAAAAACTTGATTTTCTGAAAAAAAATTTTGTCAAGTTTTTAGTTTCTAAACCAAAAATATTCTTTTTGATAGTTGTATATTAGAATGTTGATATTTTACACCAATAAAAATAATTATATTGATCTGTGCTTTTTTATGTACTGAAAAATTGATTTCTTAAATGAAAAGTAATTATACAGAAGCCCGTTTTATGCACAATTACTATCTCTTTTTAATGAGCATTTCAGGTTTAGATAATTTAAGTTTCAAGCGTTTTGAGGTCTCACAAAATTTTGAATTCTAGTTTCGAAGACTCAAAAATCAGGTTTTGATTTATATCTAAATAGAAACCGTGCAATTTCACGAAGTTGCTTTGAGATTTCGATTTACAAAAATTCGCGACAGATTAGACACACTTGCGTAAACGGCCGCTCTAAACAATACCGTATCAGCAGTTATTCGACACCGTTGTGTACCAGAGTTCGATGTGTCATCAGTCTTACCGGTTACAACGTAACGTATACATTACAAAATCACAGAGTCATCATCGTGTACGTTACGAGATTATTGTTGACAAAAGTATCTCGGAGGGTATCCCATATCTTACGTACACTGGATTACCTTTCTCTCTCCTTCTCTCTTTGTTTCATATCTTATACAGAGTTATCGTTTGTTTCACAAACATTCCGAGAAAACTTCTAAATTCCATTGGCTTTAATCGTAAATCAATTTTTTAAGGAATCTGTTTAAATTTTAACACTCAATAAACACCAAGTAACAGTAACATAACATTAATATTACAATTTCCCACTCAACAATATGACTATTGTATAACATATGCGTTATATAACAGTTATTTTCTTAAAGATAAGATGGTTAAATAATCTAAAAAATCTATAATCAATATGTAAAAATGCAGAAAATAGAGTAAAATATGAAAAGAAACTTACATTACAATTATTTTTCTCTAGTATTTTTCTCTTAGTGTGGTATTCATATGATATTTTTGCAAACATATACACAAACGATCTAGTCAAAAGTGTTAACTCGTCAAAGCGCCAAAAATGATTATTTCTTTATGAGTTTTTAAAAATTATAAGTGAGTTTGATTGATATTCTTTTGCTATAATGCTAAAGCTGTATATATTGTAAATCACATTTATAAACATTTAGTACAAAGTTATAGAGCTTCCTCATGTCGTATTAATCATTATTTAACATAATTTTCTAACAAAACCACTACTTTAAGGGCTCTGAATAATTTGTAGGCATATAACGAATCTCTATGAAATTTCTTAACTTGTCACATTTTTTAACTTGTCAGTGTTTTATTATGCTTGAAGGAAGTTGCATGACCTTCTCGTAAGTGAAACCCGCATATTAGTTATAAGTTGAGTTATAAAGCGCATGCGCAACATTAAACTCATGTGCCGCTGGCGTGCATGATACAGTCACTTATAGTGATCTAAAACAAAAAAAGTGAACAAGATTCTTATTTTACATGAGTGTGCCTACCGTCTGGATCATTGGATTAAAATTTTGACAAAATTTGACAAAATTATGACATCGCGATTTGTTTGTTGATCTCGTCATTTTGAACAAATTTTGGCTTAGTTTTCAATGGTCCTAGTTTAGACAATAGTCACACTCGTATAAAACAAGAATCTTGTTTACAAGCGACGATATCATACACTCTAATAGGACACAAGCCGAAGTATTGCACCACGCCCTGTAACTGAGTTATTATACAAGCTGTAGTTATGCAAAAAATCATGTAACTTCCCAATGAAAAATTTTTCATATATAATTATATAAAATTATATATAATTATATATAATTATATATTATTATGTATCAAATTTGTCCATTCATGTTCATACATTCTACTTATATATATAAATTCATATATAATTTTACATAGTTACGCATAAATTTATATGTAATTATACATATTGTTATACATAATTGTGTATAATTATATATAATTTTATATGATTATATATAATTATACATAATTATGTATGGACAAATTTCATACAAAATTTTACATGAAAAATTTTTCATCGGGTTCCTCAAAACATAATAAAAATATACTGAAAAGCTCAAAAATATGTGTCTTATAATTTCTTGGTAAAAAATTCCAAAGAAACTCCTTTAATTCCTGCCTACAAACCAACCAGAGCCTTTAAATGCGCTAAATTTTCATCATAATCTTCTCAATCTCAAGCAAATCCAAGTGAGAAGACAGCTTTTCTCGTAAACCTGCGGATGTCATTACGTCTCATTCTCGTGTTTGTGTATTCATCATTATTATTTATTTTAAGTTAATCAGATTACTTTATCGAGTGTTTTTAAATTGCACGTGCGCATTTGCATTTGCACGTCGCTTTGGAAAACTGAAAGTTCCCGCGCGATCTCCTCGTTGCCTAGTTGACTGTTGAACGCGCGTTCGTCGTGTTAGGCAAATAAAGTTTAGAATCGGACGGCCGCATTTAGCGTGCCTGAACGTGGCTATCTGATTCTCATGTCACGTTGACATTGAATGCTATCTTGATAGGCAAATAAAACTCACGAGCGGATGGTCACATTAAACGAATATATGCATCGAGAATAGGAGCCTTCCTTTTCGGCCGATTTCACCAGCTTTCCTCGAAGCGCACGAAATATCCGTGTATTTTTCTGTTTCATTTTTCCGATGTCGCTAATACGCCAGTGACTCGTTATCATGTTTTCAAATAGCTAGAGAGATTTCAATTTAATCTTCTAATTTAACGTTAGATATATCCATTAACGATTCTCCTTCGAAGAACGTGTCTATATTCTCTCAAGGATTTTTCGAAAGTGTCTACATTCTTGATAATTGTCAGGTGTTATATTTGGCGCTTAATAAAGTACACGCAGAAAAAATTGATATTTACTTAAAAGTGTGATGTACTCAAATTTCAACAATGTTATAATTTTATTTAAACACAAAATATTACAGTAATCTCACAAGCAAATATAAATATGATTATTTTGATGATAATGATTTCCGACATTTAAAAATAACATTCTTAAATATCTTGTGCTTTTAATTTATGAAAATTATTTTCTAATAATAACCCAGACAGCACAGAGAGTTTAAAAAGAATTAAAAAACAATTCAGCGAATGTCAGTAATTTTGAGTTCAATTTCAGATGTAAAAAGAATTCATTTCTGAAAAGAAATGAACTTAATTCTGAAAAGAATCTTTTTTGCATTTGAAAATGAACTCAAAATTACTGACATTCGCTGAATTAATTTTAAACTCTCTGTGCCACCTGGGAAGAATATATTTTTCTTTATTGAATTATATGATCACATATTGATGCAAATAACTAATCTTCATTTAATACTATATAATTTTAAGATTTACATTTTACAAGGCATTATTTTAAGATTTAATATTTATTTTTTGTAAAAAATATAACATCTGGCAATTCTGAAATATGCAAACACTGAAAATGTCCTTATTGTTATTATTATTATTACTGGGCGGCCGTATTACATTATATCAATTCTGTTCCTGGACTTCTTAACGCGACCGACTATTTGCGAATAACTGAGCCAATTGGAGTCCAACGATTTGGATGTTCGTGACCCGCCTCGCTTGAGGAAAGCTGAGCGAAATGGAAGGACATTTTATCAACGAGGTGCGAGCTGGTCACGCTCCTTATCTCTTATCGGTCTCACCTGACGGACGTTGACTTTACAGAGCCATTCGCGTAGAGATCGGCTGCCATAGCATCGGTGTCAGCCCAATGACATTCTGATTGTAGAGCCGCCGATGAATGCCTCACGCGCGCCGCTGAGACTCGATCTCTCTCCCCTCTTCGTGTCTTCTCGTCTTTCCTCCCTTTTCGGGAGAGAACAATCAGCCACGTTCCCGGTGGGAACGCCTGGATATCCCCAGTATCACCTGACGATGAGAAGGGGCTCTATCACTGGCAATCAATCGTCAACCTTGACCAGTCTCATTCTCACTGCGAACACACTGATCGCCTCGTCGCGAACACGCTCGTCGTGCCGACATTATCCCTGTGTCACATTATCGCGCGCGACTCGTCTGCGAGGAAATGCGTATCTTTCCCGGCAACCGTTCACCAGAATCCCGAATCGCAGGCGCGAAATGCGACGCGAACCGAGCGATTTCGAGCGAGGAAACGCGAGGAATCGTCGCGCGCGCGCGGCGAGCGCAATTTCAAGGGAACGACTGTCGCTCCGGCGCTGGGCTGGCATTCAGCGGAGACGTAGGATCATCCTGAGCCCGCCATCGACTGAACTATGTATGTCAGACGGGGGCACTGTCAATTGGATAACTACCTACCCCACATTGACGTGTTGTCGCGTGTGTAATGCGTATCGCTGATGCTAAAAGTCCACGTAGTCCGTTTTTCTCTCTCTCTCTTTCTCTTCTTCTCCGCTCTTCGCGAATCATTTCGCGTTGTCAAAAAGTTCTCGCGTTGAGCGAATGTGAACTGAGAAAAAATACATGAAAATTTATTTATGAAGTATAAAGTTCATTTCTATGATCTAAAGTTTATCCTTGTAAAATAAAATTTACTTCTGTGAAACAAGATTTATTTCTCTATGAATAAACTTTATATCTTAGAAATAAATTCTCGAATATCTTAAATAAGATTTCTTAAAAAAGAAATGAATTCTCGAGTATCTTTCAATGTGAATGACTCCTATGAGTATAAAATGTGAGTATAAAAAAATACTTGGAAATTTATTTCTAAAGAATAAAGTTATTTCTGTGAAATAAAGTTTATCCTTGTGTGTGAGAATTAAAATTTATTTCTGTGGAGAATATACGGTTTATATATTTTTCTGCGAATAAATTTTATATCTCAAATAAATTCTCTCTCTCTCTCTCTCTCTCTCTCTCTCCCCACACACACACACAGTGTGAGGGACTTTTTGTGAATATGTACTGAAAAAAAATACTTGGAAATTTATTTGTAGAATATAAAGCTTATTCATAAAAATAAACTTTATATGCCAAAAATAAAATGTCATATATCAAATAAATATTATTTTTTCTCAACGTACGTTCGCAACAGAAGGATCTATAAGGATACGATACTTATGATAGGAAAATATTCGCTCGCTTCGTCCTATTTTTCTTTCTTTTTTAGGATAAATTTATACGAAAAAAGGAGAGATGTTCGCATGAAATTATGTGTGCTATTTTCTTATCTGTATCGATATATCAAGCAGTCGGCACATGGTAACACTACTTTTTCACGTGAGATTGTCCAAAAAGAGAGGTGTGCCGATATCTTTGCAGATTCGCCAGTGCTTATTGGCTCTAATGTTACTTGGAGTCGAAGAAAACGCCATCAAACTGGAAGCGTGCGTTTATTTCGTGCGTCGTTCTGTCGTCACTTCGGCAGCATCGCGAATTAACTCGATGACGCGGGGAAGAATAATTTATATCGCACGACACACATAGCACGTCAGCTCAATCAGAACCGACCTTGCAAACCGACTAATACCGATCTTGGCGGGAAAGCCGTCGTTCCTATTGATAAATTCGTGCGTTCTTATTAATGCGTCATCAATTGCGTGCGGCGTATGACTTCTTCTCCTTCCTTTTCACATTCTTGACGCATACGTCTCTTTGAGCATCCCATTTATATATATACAACTTCGAGTCTCCAAGACTATGTAGAAATTTTATAGAAACTACGTTAGAGACATAAATTCTATTTGTTGGAGAAATTTTACATTTTTTCGAAATCAAGATGAGTAAACTGTTAAATTTATTGGTAACTGTTAAATTAGATTGGTGAAAAAGATTTGTCCTGCTTATCAGATAAAATAGAAAAAACGAAAATTATCTATAGTTGAGTATTAAAAGAAAAATTAGAAATTCTCGTTAGATGAAAAAAATTCGACTCGATGTTCATTTTATTCATAAAAAATGATTAATTCTATGAAATTAGATAATTTCGTTTTTTCTATTTTATCTGATAAGTACGACAAATCTTTTTCATCAACTTAATATTTAAAGGATTAATAACACGTGTTAACAAAAAACAAAATGTGCTATACACAATAACAAATTTGTGCTATATACAAATTTAATCATTTTTAAAGTTTTCTAACTTTGTTGAAAACATTTGTAAATATCATTCTTGCTAATAACATTGCTATTAGCAGTTTCATCATGATTTTCCTAATTTTATCAGTGGCAAAATAAAAAATTTTAATCAATAACATTTGTTTTCCGCAAAATATTGAAAACAAATGTTATTAACATTTTTCATTCCAAAATAAAAAAATTAATAGCAAAATTCAATTAACTTGTTTTGTATCTTGTTGGAAACGATTGTTTTCAGCAATTTTAAATGAAACGATCTATATTGTTTAATAACATTGCTAAAACCATTCGTTATTAGCAGTGTTATTTCTGGTGTGAACTGCTCTTTATGAATTTCTTTAGTAAGACTTCACCTCATCGACGACGGACGAAGAAAAAACCCGACATCAGGAATAAAGGATTCGCGAGAGAAATTGGAGACGCGTATCGCATTTCATCGATATGACGGACCGCGTGAAATGATTTCGCCAGTGTTGCAGTACTCTCTAAACGAATGATTCATCGCAATTCCATTCCCATTTGCTCAGGACCCTCTGCGCGCGATTTACGTATCAACGGGTTTGATGGGTCGCTAAAAGCTACCGACTGAGACCTCCATCGAAGTTTAGGCCCTATCAGTGACGCAACATGACGCTTAAAAGGCATTCGCGATTCTGTGTCACCGATAAAAGTAGATCGAACATAGCCGGCTATTTTCTTCGAGATATCTTAGTTCTCGTCGCAAAATTTATTCTGCTTCGATCTGAAAGAAGCCAGTAGATAGTCCTGAAAAATTGTTTTAAATATATCGTTGCTTTGTATACATTATTGTATACATTATTAATGTAGCAAATGTACAATTACTTTGTATGTACATTTTTAATGTAGAACTTTATCTAAAGAAGTGATAATCAAACAAGTGGTTTTTAGTTGCGTGGATCATACGGACTTCAGAGATAATATTACACAAATCGTTGTATTTATTTAAATGGTTGATTTTTTACTTTGCAGATCGCTATATCTCTCGCCATCAACTACGTATCCTGCAAAAGGATGAATCTCACTCAGCTGATTAAGGACAGTTTCAGAAGGCAGCCTCAGCTGTATAATCAATATAGTCTGCGTGACGGACAACTGAGGGGTTTCTCTTATCTGTCAGAAGATGATTACAATGAGGCAATGGAGAATGAGGACAAGCTGCAACAGCTAAACAGAGATAACAGGAATTTAATGATTGTCAGTAAATGGTTTGCTATTTCTAGAAATAGATTTTGTGCGATAAAAAAGAATGCGAGTATTTTCCAAAGTTAATCTTGCTCGATAATTAATCTAAGAATACAATTTTTTCCAATTAAATTCTCGAAGAATTCGACGCTTTAAGCTCTGCTGAACTCTTATCAGTTTACAAGGCTCTCAGAATAAAATCTCAATATTGAGGTCAATAAGAACCAAGACAAGATGTCCATATTCCTAAAATTTTATTATAATGGTCTAGATTGAAATGACCAATATAAATTTAAACGTTTCAATTCTAAGTTTGAACCTTCTTCAGTAACATTAATGATCAATAAATAAGATAAAGATCAATAAATAATTTTACTGCTGACATAAATGTGGTACACATATATGAGGAAAGGTACATTTTCGAATGGGACAAAGTTAAGGTTCTACACGTGGAACCTATTTATAAAAAACGAATTATATCTGAAATGCTACACAGAGAAGCAATCTAAAAAGCATTTAAAGACAGGCTCTGTCGATTTAAATCAACAGAGTGACACCAAACTTTTAGATAACCTTTATCTACCTGTTGCAAATAATTTTAAATTTTAACTTATCAGATGTTTTAAATAAAAATATTTACTTTGACAAGATTTAAGTGTCGAACCGAGTGAGGTGTTGTTATTTGAAGTTTATCAGTTGACATAATGTCTTTGATAATCATTTTCGTCTTGTGTCTAGGCGTCGTTATGCTGATGGTATGTTAATTTATTACAATAAGAACTAGTGTTTAATGATATATAAAACAGTTGGTTTACCTCTCCCAGATGCTAAGGAGCCTCAACCAATTGTAGCATGGTATTGCCAATTTACAAGGATAAATTAACAATTTCATTCAGTCTCGACTGCGACAAGTTGCCTGACCATTATTGCTATCTATGCGTTTTTACAATGATTTAATTTGATGTAATATCCGTGAGCCGTTTGTTCGAATGATGTGTTTATATGTATATTTGTATGTATATGAGCAATTTCATTAATGTTACTGAAGAAGGTTCAAACACTTAGAACTGAAACGTTTAAATTTGTATTGGTCATTTCAACCTAAAACGTTATAATAAAATTTTAGGATCTTCGGATATCTGTCTTAGCTCTTATTCTTGGCCTCAATATTGTTATTTAGATCTTGTCAGTTTCTTTCAACTCTAAATTTCTCTTATGTATTTATCTCTGGTTCAAACGTCTTCTACGTCACGGGTGACGTTGCATTGAAAGATAATTGTCTATATTAAAATTCGAGGCTTTTTTAATTCTGTCGAATTCCTGTCAGTTTTTTAATTCTACATAGAGGAAAGATTATATAGCTTTCCTTTTATACATTACATTCTTTTCAATTTTACTATATTTTCTAGCTTAGATATAGACTGTTAGTATAATTCATTTTGCTAAGGAACATAGTAATTTTTTAATATAAATTTTAATTCCTAATAGTATATATGAAAAATAGAAAGAAAATAAATGAAGGGCAAAATGTCCACATGTTCTTTCCCCGATATAATGTCTAAAATCGGGACATAAGATGTCTTAAAGATCATCTTTAAGATGTCTTTCAAACGATTTATGTATAAATGTCTTTAAGGCGTCTTAAAGATTATCTTTAAGACGTCTTATGTTCTGATTTTAAACATTATGTTGTCTGGGTTGGTTATTAAATCGTATAGTAATTTTGAAAATTCTTCCTTCTTCTGTAAATGCTTCCTCTGCGTATTTATCTTTAAGATTCAAGCGTCTCTATATATTACACGTAACGTATCGCTACATTGAGACATAATTATCCATATCAAGTTTCTCTCTTTCAACTTACACACAGCAATACAATGATCTTTGCAAAACGAAAGTGACGAAAATCGATTTGATGGACGATCCCGTTTACGACTATCAACCGTCGCATTATTTCGAGATCTCCTGCGAGGGATTTGACGACAATGAAGCGATAATGGGGGAACGTCCGCAACAGGTAAACTCGCGCAATGACAAATAGACTGATACGCATCCGAGATAGTAGAAATCTTTCAGTGAAAGATTTTCTTTTGGTGAATGATAGGAATGCAAAATCGCTCTTTTGTAAACGTTATAACGATATTTTTTATTCGCTTTTTTCAGAAATGCGCTTATCCAGGATTTCATTGCGTGCAGAGAAGCCGGCAGCTGTTTCTATCCAGACGACGATGGGAATCCGAATGCTGGGAACCGCACATGATGGAGATCAAGAGCGATTGCGATTGCATGTGGCCGGCCACTCTGAGCGACATAAGGGATCATTATTGATCTACCGATGGCAAATCCGTCAATTACTAGAACTCGACGTTTCACTATATAGTACAAAAATATCGAAAAGCTTCTATATTTGCAATATGTAAACGAGGTCTCTCTTAAAAATATTTATTCACTGTATTACAAATATGAATAAGTGAAATATAACGGATACCAATTAATGATCCCGTCTTGCGCGTTTTCTTTCTCATATAAACTATTTATTGAGAAAATTCGTACAAGGTCAAAACGCATTTCACTCGCGGAAGAATCCGCTCGTTTTCGCTTCTTCATGACGGATCATTTCCACGAGTTCGCCTTGTGCTTTGGCAAGAAGTGGAATCCGTCAGGCACTTTTCCGAGCAGCATCTCTCTGGAAAGAAAACGAAACTGTGAATATCGCGATTGCGCAGCCAGATCCAACTATAATCCGGTAAGAACCGGTAGCTTGAAAACAATCGCCTTACGATAACTTCACCCAGTCGGCACAATTGGAGCTGGCCATCAACGTTTCCATATCGTTGCGACCTCTGTAGAACGGCGGCCGCTCGTTGATTCTTTGCGGTGGTCTCTCCAGAATTCCAACAGGAACATATCTGTAACGCATTATATTGTAAATACATACAACAGAAAGTGGTACAACGCTTTATACTATAATAGCGCAACGCTTCATATAATTCAATAGATGTATTATTCCAACAGAGTTAAAAAGGAAGAAATTCTATTTATCAGTAAAATTCTACATAAAGCAATTGCGATATAAATATATAATTTAAACAACTTAAGAGTAACTTAACAGGATAAAATACCAGCTATATTTTTCTTTTGATCAAAATAAGATGAATTTTTTAACAAGGAAAATTTTTTAACAAGAGAAACTGATTGCAAATTATACAGATTACATTCAATTACTATTTTTTACAACGTGGAGTCGCGAATATAGCGCAATTAGTTGCTCTTGGAGCGAGTTTACCTGTGAAGAAATGAGATCCACTCCAGCATAAACCTTCTCGTGGTCTCGACCCCGTGGGTGTCGGATCCCCAGTGCTCGAGTCCGTAATTCGTGTACTTTCGAAGAATATCAAATCTTTCCCCACTCGATATATCGATCAGCTTTCTCTCCTTGATCTCCGTAAATATCCATGGCTTGATCAAGGCACCGCGACCGATCGTGATGCCTTGGACCGTAGTGTAGGTCTCCTTCACTCTCTGATAATCATCAAAAGATAAAATATCGCCGTTCCCATACACAGGCACAGGTTGCGCCGCCAGGGCGCATTTCTCTATGTAGTCCCAGTCGGCTAACTTCGTGTATCTTTGTTCACGAGATCTTCCATGAACCTATTGAGGAAAATAACGGCTTTTCATCTAACGCTAAATAAGCGACGAGATCTGCGCCGATCTCTCCGAGAAGCTCGTATTTCTACTACCCTTTTTCGCATTTCCCAGAAGACAATAATTCTTTGTCAATTGTTCTAGAAAATTTTTTTTCATTGAACATTAATAATTCGGCATAATGTATGCAAAATTAAATCTCTCCAGCGACATCTAGATTCTTTAAAAGTAATCTTCTTTAAGATTCTTGGCTCCTCGTCGTGAAACTCTTGATTGATGAAGTGAGAAAATACACGCTGAAAGTTTTTGCAAAATATGTTAAAATTAAAAGATATAAGTATATATGAAATAAGGCAACTAATCAAGTAGACTTATAAAATAGTCGGAACACTTCTTTTTGTTTGAACAATCAACAATTAATAACCGTAAAATTAATAAGACATGTAGCTTTTTTTTTTTAATCTATCTTCTTCCATAATTTTGTCACGTTAATTTTGCAGTTATTTATTGATCGTTAAAAGGAAAAAAAGAATAGTCGACTATTTTACGTATCTACTCGATCGATTGCAAGTGTCGTTTTGTAAACATATTTTATTCCAACATATGTTGCAAGATTTTTAATGTGTATTTTTTTGTTTTTGATATCATAAATCAGGATGGCCGCGGCAGAGGTTTCCTAGAGCCTTAAACTGTTTTTAAAAACAATTCTCCTAAAAATGTTTTAATCAATTTATCATAAACTCCCTTTAAATCAATTTTCTTAAATTTTTTGAAGTAAATTTTCTTAAAACTGTTCTTAAACCACGTTCTTTAAACAATTTTTTCATAAACTTCCCTGAAAAGTTCCGCTTTGCGCCGAGAATACAGTCTTCCCGAAGAGGCCGTCAGCGACAAGAAATATTAATCCAACGGACTTACTCACAGTAATCATGGACACACCCCACTCGTGAAACTTTGGCATTAAGTTATGCGCGATCGGCCTGTCTATGTAGACCCCGGTCCTAGTCTTAATAGATAAAGGTATGTCCAATACTTGACTAACGGACTTTACCACGGTTTCAAGTACGTTCAGTCGATTGAGCATACCACTGCCGCCGCCCTGCCTGTAAATCAAGTCGATCGGGCAACCGAGATTCAGATCGATGTAATCCACGCCGATCTCGCGATTCAGCAGCTGGGCGCATCTCGTCAGCACGCCGGGGTTGTTGCCGCACAGCTGCACGCCGAATAAGTCCTCGCACTCGTGCCTCTTCACCAACGCCCATTCTTCCTGCGCGCCTTTCAGGATTTTCGGCGCCAATGCCATCTCGCCGCACGTGATGTCGGCGCCATACTCTTTGCAGATCCTGCGGAACGGCAGATTGCCCACGGTCGTCAACGGACTCAGCAGTATCTTGTTCTTCCAATCGATCTTCCGCTTCTCCGACGGTTGCAACCTGATCAGGTCGCTATCGTCCACCGGTCCCATTCTCGATCGTTTCGACTCATGTGAGGCATCGCGATCAGCCACGTCGCACTTCGCTTTTACGTCGTTGCTATTGTCGACGATGTGAACGGATTCTGCGGCCGCAACTTCTGATCCCGGCTTATCCCTAGCTTCCGTCTCACGCGTCTCCCTATTGTCGACGTTCTTAGGCTCGTTGGACTTGAAGTATTGCAGTTGCATCTTCTTTCTAGACGGATCGTTGGCTTTGACGATCGCCTCCGCTTTGGCGAAATTGTACTTGTGTTTGCGCAGCTTGTTCTGCAGGTCCTTGGACAGCTGATTCATCGTGGAAGGCGAACGCTTCTTGTACTCCTCGAGTCTCTTCTCGTCGACGATATTGAAACCATCTTCAGTCAGATGTCGTGAGCCCATTCTGCACGTGGTACCTCGCGGGCACTTGCCGGTCACGTTGAAGATATGACACTCCGTGCCGATATCCACCGGTCGTATCTTCAAGTACTCCTTGCGATCGTGCAGAAACACGCAGCGCTGATTCAGGCATTTTCTCTCAGACTCGTCCACTGTTTGATCTGCGATCCAAGGGCACAAGCTCAACTCCCTGGGCGCCTTAAATGGCGGCGGCCTCGCTTTATTTTGACCTCTGAGCTTCTCCTTCTTGTCATCTTGCTTGAACCTTTTAACAGCCGACTCGTCTGATGACGATTGTGCTTCCGCGTCTTCCGCATTTGTGCTCGCAAATACTTTCTGCTTATCGGTCTCTGTCAAACACTGCTTACTCAGCTGCCTTACGTGGTCTTCGATGATAAACCTGTAATATTATAAATGTCAGTTTCACACAATAACAATAAATAATAATATATAACAGACAGAACCGAGGATATTATTAATTGTGGTTGTTTATGAGTAAACATGACAATGAAATAATATAAATTCATAGAAATATTATTCATGTAATATTTAACATACAAACTATAAAGAGGATAGACGTTTTTTACAACGTTAAATAGTAGCAGAGTTAAATAAGCATTTGTACAATCGCAGCAGGAGATTATTGGATTAGGATTGTCAGATTTGAAAATTAAAGATCTCAATTGATTTCCAAAATGAAGAAAGGAAAAATTGGAAATCTGGTTCATAAAAATATATTTGTTGGAAAATATATCAATAGATTATAATCATTATAATAACAGTGAATAAAATATATAGCCAGAATATAAGGATGTAATCACAATTTTATTATTATAATTGACAACAGCAAGAATATATATTATAAAAACTTATATATCTGTATAGATGTATATCTGTGTTGATATCTGGCAACCCTATAGATATTAGTTCACAGATATATTAAGCTTCTTACCTAAAAACAATACTAATTTAGCAGTCCAAATGTTAAATTAAGTAAAAACAAGAATAATAAATATATTACAACATGAAATATATAAATTTGATATTTCAGTTGGAATATTTAATAATTTTGACATTTTTAATACTAGCTAAACAGCTGGATTGATAGTAAAAAGTAAATATTTGGAAACCCTATGGATGTATTACTTCACAGATATATTAAATTACTTATTTTACAAACAGATAAGACGTGATCTATGTTTCTTATGACAAACTTAACAATGGCTTTGTTTACATTGTGCACTTGATATGCGTACTAAATAGTAACTTTCTATTAACTTAATGCATATCAACATAAACATAATACATAGTAACTTTCTATTAACTTAATGCATATCAATGGCGATGCATTCAATCAATATGTTTTGTTGATGAGTATTATATCAACTTAATACACCATTGTTTATATATATCGTCGATATTAAGATTATCTAATAGAAAGTTACTATTTAGTACACTATCAAGTGCACGATGTAAACCAAGCCAGTATATTAGTTTATAGATGTGTTAATTACCAATAACAACTAACTTTTAAAAAGAAATATTTGAATGTTTAAACTTTAATTTTTAATAAGATATGTAGACCACATTTTAACTGCTTAAAAAAAATAACACTATAAACTAATTTGTGAATAATGCGTATATTGAGGCTACGTTCGCTCTTGTGCTAAATTGGCTTCATTCTATCTTTATTACTTATTACATGCGAGCGGAAGATGATACTTTCAATACAAAAGCGCCTAAAACGAACACAGCCTGAATCAGGTCCCAGGCTGTCCTGAACCAGAACCATGTGACTGTGGTAATGTTGGAGGTTAAGTAACGAATTGATATTCGTAATCGCGTTCTTGAAGTGAATTTGCGACCGATAGATTGACGAAACTCTTACAATATACCTACGTACTCTTCTTTTATCAAACACACGCCCTTCTGCTTGTCTTCGCTGAAATCAAACGAGCAATTCCCGTTACACTTTTCATCACATTCCGCCATTTCTCTCTTTCTCCGAATGGTGTACAGGCCTTTAAGACCAAATCACACTAAAGGCCAAATCACACTGGTGCTTTCCAATTGCTTAACACATTTTGACACACCATACACAAAACCAATTTATTATAGCGAATTCGGTAGCTTGCACTAGTGCGCACTGAGTGCGCATTAAGGCTTGTTTACAGTACATTCTTATATTTAAGATCGTGTCTTAAATACATATTTAAAAACATTTTAACTAATAAAATGATTCGTACGGATGTTATACATATCATATTATGGTTAAAAATATTTGAGAATTTATTTGAGAATTATTTAAGACAATTTTTAAATATAATAACATACTATGAACAAGCCTTAGTGCGCACTCAGTGCACACTAGTGCAAGCAACCGAATTCGCTATAAAATATCTTGTAAGATAATATGCAACCAATAAGCTGGTTTTGTATAACACAGTGTACGCAACTGGAAAGCACTCACTAGCGATTGGCGATTGAAGATTGGAACAAAGCAAAGCTGAAGCTTGTTGATTCGTTAAAATCTAATCTTTAATTGTCAATCTTCAATCGCCAATCGCTAGTGTGATTTGGCCTTTAGGGTATAGACCCTTTCGGTTAGGCGACAGTTTCCCGAAAAGTGGAGGGGATAATGTTGATACCAAGAGAAATCTTTACACGATATAATTTAAAGATCTGTTTTTTTGTAACTGCACTGCTAAACTAATGCAAAAGGTTAGAGTGAGAAAACGTATACTTGCCTTATTTTAATGTATTGCACCAATTTAGCAGTGCAGTTACAAAGAACAGAATCTTTAAATTATATCGTGTAGAGATTTTCTTTGGTACCAACATTATCCCCTCCACTTTTCGGGAAACTGTCGCCTAACCGGCCCTTTCACCAATTCCGCCATTTCCATATATGTAAAGGCCTTTGCACGTAGAAAAATTTTAATCGTAACCGTAATGGCTCCTGCACACAGGACGCGGGAATGCTTGCCGCGCAGCGGAAGTTCGCGCGATAACCAATCAATATGCTGCTTTCTGTAATAACCTTCTAGCTCTTATGGAAAAACAACATATTAATTGGCTGTTGCGCGGACTTTTGCCGCGCGGCAAGCATTACCGGATCCTGTGTGCAGGAGCCATAATCCTACTCGACATATGTACACATTAGTACACACTTTGTTCCAATTGAATCGTGCACAACGTTAAAGCCAAATCACACTAGCAATTGACGATTGACGATTAACGATTAAAGATTAGATTTTGACGAATCAACGAGCTTCAACCTTGGCTTACTTTGTTCCAATTGGTCAAGTTCCAATCTTCAATCGTCAATTATCAATCGCCAATCGCTAGTGTGATTTGGCCTTTACACTTTGTGCATTTCTGTGTACATATGTGTCAAGATGTGTTAAGCAATTGGAAAACACCCATTATAATCTGTGGGTGCTTCCCAATTGCTTAACATATCTTGACACACACGTAGACAAAATCAATTTATTGGTCACAAATTATATAAAATATCTTGTAAGATAATATGCAACCAATAAACTGGTTTTGTGTAACACAGTGTACGCAACTGGAAAGCACCCAATGATTGGTTCGACCTGGTAACTCACATAATTCTTTGCACCGGTTGATGGTGTCCAATCGTACCGTGGTCAATCGGGACGCTCCTGTCCATGTATACTATGGTCCATATTCTGAATTCTCTTTTATCGATAAAAGTACCTTAAATGTAGCTTCTCAGCCAATCAGTTGGCTCCTAGGTCCATATTCCTAAACGCTATATTCCTAGGTCCATATTCCTAACGCCTAAACTTCTTTTAGAGGTACTTTTATAGATAAAAGAAGATTCAGAATATGGACCTATGTCCATGAATAAGGCCCAGTTCCACAACCTTCAGTTAACTTAAGTTGCTGGTTATTCCATTGAAGTTGACCAATCGCATTTGACATTAAGAAGAGTTAATCAGAATTAACCAATCACTATTGGGACTTAACTGGTAGTTAAAATTAAACGGATGTGTGGAACGTCGCCTAAGCACGATTTTCTCAATTGTTCGTTTTTGTTGTAAGTTCGAAAAGTGAGAAAAAGCAAAGTTTGTCGGAAACGATAGATTTACGCGAGATTGACGGTGCGTTTTAATTTTGTTGACGTTTTATTGACGTGTAACACAGAGAAGCAGAAGAATTGATAAATTTATCCATTTTCAAGATGTCATCTTTTCCTACTTGGTGATTAATGTTTTGATAGGAATTGTGCTTCTTAGATTAGATTCATAGAATGAACACATAATAATGTTTCTTCGAAATTTCTGCAAATAGAAGATTTCTTAATAATTCTAAGATCACGTTATTCATTAAATCTACAGGTTTGTTAAACAAGTAATATATTTTATTGTCATGTAATTCTAGTATGATATAAATCTTCAATCATGTAAGAAATTGCAATGTGTTTCAAGTACTTGCATGTTAAAACATATATGGACTTACAATGGATAAAGTAATAGAAGTAGAAAGTTCTTCAGATGATGATGATACATATACAAACCCTGCTGCTCGTTTAAGAGGTCATTTTTTATTTATTTCTAAATTTACTTAAATCTAGATTAAGATTATTCTGAACCATCTTTCACACATACACACACATCTATAAAAGTTCCTTTAAATGTACTTATAATCTCAGGAGATTTATAAGTCATATTTTTATCGATAAGAGAAGGTTCAGAATAAGGACATTAGTAAAAAGAGCAAGTAGAGTGGAAATAAGCAATTTTATTTTAATATAAAATGTACACAGTTAATTTAAGTTAAATATAAAATGATCTGATTTTAGCATTAAAACAAAAACGCCTTGAAAATGAGAAACTTGAAAAGTCTATCAGGTATGATATTATATACATAATATTTTATATATAGTTCTTTAAAACCATTCATTTATACACTATTATCCATATATATTATATATGTAATAAATATTTATGCTCTGTATAGGAAAATATATCTATAGTTACTTCATTTTCAGTGTTGCAGTAATAAATGATGAAAATGATGTAACGATTACCAATACAGAAGTTTTACCAAGTAATATAATAAATGAAAACAATATACAAACAGAAACTAGAATTACAAGATCTGGAAGTAGAGGTGTAAGTAATGGTAGAGGTAGAAGTAGAGGTAAAGGTAGAGGCAGAGGCAGAAGCAGATGCACATTCTATCCTACTACTAGGTCAACTAGAAAAAGGGTAATTTTGTAATAAATCTTTTTATATTTATTTTTTTAATATAATTTATATTTATCTTTTATAAATATGTATTTATATTTACTTTTTTTAATATAACAAGCAAAGTTTTCTGTTAGATATTGATTTCACAAACTAAGCATATCAACCAATGGCTTCAAGACTTTTAAAACAAATATAGGCACACTGTATAAACGATCAATGTGTCAGAAGATGTATGTTTTTGGTTTTTAGCATTCGTTTGTCGATACTTTAGAGGTGGAATTTATACCATTAGAGCACAGCGATAAACCAATTTCTGAACCCACCAAGGATGATATTATCGCCTTGTCCTCGGATGATGACGCTTGTGGCGAGGATGATAACTACGAGATTAATATAAAAGTATTGTGGAGATCCGTCAGGCTAGATCGTCTGAGTATGCGTAGGGTATGTATATATCAATTTCGCAGCTGGCTGTTAGTGGCGCTCGCACGCACAATTTCGAACTTTTCCCGCAAAAAAACCAGTCACGTATGTTAAACACTTAAACGTTATTATCTTCAGAAAAATAGGATCCACAGAATAAATTGCATTAGATAATCATGAATGGCTCTTACAGACCTGAATTTTCTCACTTTAGTTAGAATATTAGCACAGAGCCTATTTACATTTCTCGAACCTTTTCCTTCTCGTTGTAGCACGATAGTTTCTTGAAGATTTTTCAGCATTACGCTGATCTGGAGAAAGTCTCTGTGGATGAAATTTTAATCATGAGGAACGATAAAATCATCAATCTTGTTGATACGCCAGCATTGCTTAATCTTTCAGTTATAGATATACTCGGTTGGTATAAACGAATTACAAATTTCTTAAAATGACAATATTGTGTAACTATATTGATTGTATCTTATACTTTCTCATAGATGGTGGCATAGTGAATCCAGGTATGAACACGTTATCCTGTAAGGATAAGGACAACGATGAAAATGATGAATGCAATATTAAAGTGCAAACTGCTAACAAAAAACAGTCTTTGATCGTCCCGCTCAAGAAGAATCAGCAATTTAGAACGCTATTCTCTTATTGCGCGTTACAACTCGGCGAAGATGAAAGTAATCTGAAGTTCCATTTCGATGGGGAACAGATCGACCCAACCGACACGCCGGAATCGTTAGACATGGAAGGAGAAGCGTGCATCGATCTTCGAATCTCGTCCGTGTAACTTGCTGCATCAAGTATAACAAAAGTTTTTTGTATAAGAAGTTTTATAATTATAATTTACAGAAACTGTGTCTTTTTTATATAGACTTTTACAGCTGAGGAACGATTGTTCTGACTTTTTGGTAAACTATTTGACAATTAAATCATATATTTACCTTCGTTTTTTTTTTTCAAATTGAACAGAGATAAACACATGATTTAATTGTTAGGTGGCTTATTAGGTTGGAATAATGGGCCTTCAATGTAAGAATATCAAACTTGAAAATCCTATTCATTCCTAAAAGACTATTAGTAATTTAAAATTATTGTAAAAATAGATTATATTATTTTATGAGAAAAACATCAAATTACTTATGTATCAAGTCAAAGCACACGAAAGAGGAGCAAAGAATTCCAATAGAAAAAATTTTATCTTCAGAATAATCTATAATTTTGTTTTAACTATCGGATAATATTGTATTAATAAATTTTCAAGCACACATCTCAATATATTTTATTTATCTGTATATCTCAGTACATTCATATGCATAATGATGGAACACAGTATTTGGTACACTTAATCTTACAAGAGTATAGGACATAATTAGTGAAAAGTTATATACACAAAAAAAATTACGTACACTATTATAAATGTTGTTATATATGCCATTGTTATATATGCTGCCTTAAATTAATATAACAAATCTCTAATATTATACTCCTGTAAAACTGAAGTTTTTCCAAATAAAAGTTTACAATAATAACAACAACAACGATTAATATAATATATTTATGTATTGATATATCGTTGTTTTTTACATAATGTACATAATATACCGATATGCTCTATATGTATATAAGAGAGTACATATACACTTATATACACATAAAACGAACTCGACAGCTAATATCTTTATTTGTACGATTTTCTGCACGATATCGAACGTACTATGCTCTTCGCGCAATTGCTATTCATTTTTTAACATAAGCAGCCAAAAACATTAACTATCATTATGAACTCCATTAGTTAACATTCCTAATCGCCTAAGAAAGTATGCTTTGTATTATTTACGAACACTGACCTTTCTTGAAAATTTGACAGCTGACAATATTATTACCAGTGTGTGTGAAGTATTTTCTCTCTTTTATCGCTTTACATGCGATATTTCATATTAATTTTATTGAGTGTTCTCGTAAAATAATACAGTCTGTTCACTGCTCCAATGGTGATTATATATTGCACGGCGATCCGTCGTGTTGGATACTTTCATTGAGAATATTGAACGCGAGTCTCGACGAAAGGAAAATATTGTACGCTAATTTTATCCTACGGAATACACGAGTGAAAGGCGACAATAATTTGTTTGATAAGAGGGAATGTTTTGGAGAGTCACCGCTGTCAAGAAAAAGTGGCTTAATCGTTAAATTTGCGGTTCGGATTGAGTCCGAACAAGGCGCAACGGATCTCGGGTACCAACTGCTGAGCTATAAGCTCTAATCTGGTTTCCAAAGTGTTGCTCACTTTTATGCGTCCTGCAGAAATTGGAAATTACTTGTCATTAATATAATACAGAGAAAGAATTCTGATAAATTGGTAACACAATTTCTTACCAAAGTTAGATTTAAATGAAGTTAATACTCGTTTTATCTACATTATGGTGTTATATATGACACGTTGCAGATATCTCTTACTCTATCGATTTATATTGATAGCGAGTAAAAATATCATGATGAAACAAATTGAAGATTGTTTTGCAAAGTTACCTTTAGATGCTAACAAATCCACACCTCCGCAGCTTTCGCTGGGCAAGAAGTTATCGGGATCAACTTTCAGGATAACGTCTTTTTTAGTCATTTGCTTATATTGTTGTTGAATACTCTCGAGAAGTGATTCTACAAGATGTATATCGGCTTGACGCACGCGTAGAGTAATCTGCGGTTCGGTCAACTATAAAAATGTATATTATTAATGAAGATAAAAATATTATTTGATGTATTATTTTATAATTTCTTATTGATAAAATCAAAAATAAAAATAAATTTTTGAGGAATAAGAGCCTATAAAGAGCCACTAACAAAAAATAAATCTTTGAGGAATAAGAGCCTATAAAGAGCCACTAACGGATGTAGTAGTGTTATATAACTAACTATATTAAAAAAGACAGCTAGTATCTATCCTCACTTATGTAGATATTACATATGAACATTATTTAATTATTTTTTATATCTTTTTTCATGTATGGCGTTTGATGCAATTCCCATTAGATTTAATTGTTAACTTGTGTTGCTACCATTGTTCATCAGACAACTGTTTTTCTCTTTATATACGTAACAGAGGATTTTTTTCTTATATTGTAAACAATGTTACTATTGATGAAGCTCCACCGAAGGACCGAAATACGTTTAGTTATTTGAATAAATAAAAAATTGTTTTACCTCTACGTAAGTGAGGATAGATACTAGCTGTTTTTTTGTGATATAGTTAGTTATATAACACTACTACATCCATGTAAGTGGTTCTTTATATGCCCTTATTCCCAAAAGTTTTCGATTATTGGATGTTTAATCAGTACTTATTATTATGATAAAACTATGTACACAGGATGTTTGATGTTAAATATCTCATACTTTGTATAGATATAAACTAGATCAAACTAATCTACCTGTACACAGAGTATGGAATGCACTTAACATCAAACATCCTGTATATGTAGAAAAAGGAAAAATAATAATTATAGTAATTATATTAAAATGATAAGTACGTACTTGATAAAGGCCTTGGATAATCAGCAGCTGAAGAATCTCTCTATATCGGCCAGTATCGTGAATTACTTCACCTAATCTTCTTCTAGCATCATCAAGGACATTGCGTACATGGTCTTCGCGTACCTTTAAAGCCTTCAATCGTGCTTGGTTAAGCATGTTCGAGGATTGTCTATAAGAAGTTGTAAACATAAAAATGCAGATATGTTAGATCACTTCTTAGTACTAATAGTACTATAGAAATTTGTGAACTTTTCCAAGAAATTCTCTTCTGAGAAGAGTACATATACATATTCTTACCAGGTATGTATATATTCTAATCTATATTTCATTATATAATATATACATATATAATCAGTTATTTACTTTATAGAGATAAAACATTAAGTATCTTATAAAAATAAAAAGTATATACTTATTATACATACATCTTTTTTTGCAGTTCAACTTGCTTCTCTTTTTTCTCATAGTATTCCATAATTTTGAGACGTTGTTGCTGCACAAGACGTCCCTTTTCAATGTTAAATTCCTCTTCAGCCTTGGCATCTATCTCTTCTGCCTTCTCATTGGCCTCTTGTTCTATGAAGGCCATCATATGTTTGATCTGCAATATCATTTTTTACTTTCATACTTTATATGTCTCTTATGGTATTATATGCAAAAATAGACCATTTTGTCTTTGGATTATAATACTCCCCCACATATACACAAGTAGCATACATAATAAGTTATATAAAAATATGTTTCATTCAAATCTTGTTTTAGCTAATAATTTTAATCCAGTTTGAGTTTTGAATAAAGACTTAACATTGCAGAATTATTAAATAAAAATGCATATGAAAAATAAAAAAATTCTTTGATAAAGTGTTTCAATAGAATTACTATTAAAGATTCACAGGCAATATAATTATTTATCTGTTCGACTTTATTGGCATTTGGCCATTCACAGATTTGACCGGATTTCTGCCCGATTAAAGCTGCAATTTTAAGACTCACGGAGACACGAAATTCGACGCCCGAATAACGTATAGGATTTGCGAAGCGTCATATTCATTCGAAAGAGCGAGATAACGTAATAATAAATAACGACAAAAGTATTAATAGCACGAGTATGCATGACATGTACGTTGAAGAGTGAACGTTACAGGGCCTCGAAATATAGCGAAGCATTTCGTTATTAACCTGCTTCTGCACGTCGGCATCGCTGAGGGCCATGGTGCTCCGTGTGTATTTCTGCTCCACGAAAGGAACGTGCGAAATTCGTTGGAAAGCACTCGAGAAACTCGTAGAAACTCAAGAGCAAAGCGCACACCGGGGAGAAGTCAACGCCTATGACGGAACATCAATTCTCGCGTAACGTCGATCATATGACCCGAAGTGTGACCATCGTTCCGAAACTCACACCCGCATGATTCGGGCGCACCTTGCAATGCGAACACACCCTGCCGTTAGAGACGTCACTGGGCCCTTATTCTTAAAATTCTTGCGTATACGTAATTTTCATTGCGCAGCTATTTTATAGTATGATTAAATCTGCGCAGTAAAACTTATGTATACGCAACTATTTCAAGAATAGGGGCCCTATAGTGCGATTCTGTAACTCGTTATTGCAGTTAACGACAGTCTCGTTATCGTTGTGCAGCTTTTCTACAGTACGAAAAAGCTGCGCAATGATAACGAAATTGTCGTTAATTGCAATAACGAGTTACAGAATCACTGGGCGCGTTCAGCGAAAAAAGCGCTCAGTGAACAATCAGCGATTATTGATTCTTAAGCCCATTCTACAATTGCGTAAGCGTAGTTGTGAACGTAAGAGTCAACCAATCCGAATGTTTTATTCACTGATTGCTTTACTCTGATTGGTTGTCGTATCACTTACAACCCCTTACATCCACGTTCACGCAATTGTAGAATGGGCTTTACTGTTAGATCCCTAATGGCTTCTGCACACAGGACGCGGTAATGCATGCCGCGTGGCAGAAGTCCACGCGATAGTCAATCAATATGTTGTTTTTCCGTAAGAGCTACAAGGTTATTACGGAAAGAAGCATATTGATTGGCTGTCACACGAACTTCCGCCGCGCGGTAAGCATTGCCGTGTCCTGTGTGCACGAGCCATAAGGCTACCTATGGGTGCGTTCAGATTCCCTACCCGGGTGCATTCTATTACTAGAAACACTATAGTATATGTTACATATACTATAGCACTTCTAGTATTAGAGTGCACCCGGGTAAGGAATCTGAACGTACCCTATAATGTTTATGGGAATTTGACAATTTTGTCAAACTGAGCCTATATGAAGATCCCATTTTAACGTAGACGATAATGTCATACCCAGAAATTTAACTGATAAAGAGATTAGTATTTGATCCCCTGCTATTTTTATACTGAGAACATTTCAAGTTTTTTCATAGGAAGACTTTTTAAAAACACAATTTGGATTTTTCGGGGGAGAGCGTAAGACCGACAATATTTAAAATACTAATGGCTTTGTTTGTGGAATCCTCCAGAAAAGAAATTCCTCTTTTTAGAGGGGACACATCCGTAAAAATTGAAACATCGTCTGCATATTACAACATTACACAATTACCCGAATTAAGGTTTTCCATATCTTTCATATAGATAGCAAAAAGAAACGGGCTTAATACATTGCCCTGAGGAAGGCCCTTAAAAGCTGAACATATCTCATCTATTTCCCCGAAACGACAATGGACCTCTCTCTGAGCTATGGAGTTCTGAATAAAACTGATTATACATGGAGGAATTCCTATTGTTTTTATTTTTGTAACTAAAATGTCCCACAGAACATTGTCGAATGCTGATTTAATGTCTAGAAATATAGTCGAAGTGGCTTTCCCCTTCTTAAAAGATTTAAGAATAGTTGTATATAGTATTGACAAATTATCTATGCAAGATTTGTTTTTTTAAAAACTATATTGTGAGGGATTGTATTTAGAATAGTACTCCAGCCACCAGTTGAGCCTGTTATATACCATTTTTTCCATGATTTTAAATATACAAGAAGCCATAGAGATTGGCCTGAACTTATTAATTTCGCTTTTTGGAATAAAGAACATAATATATTTTTTTTTCCACTTTTTAATAAAACTTTGACTACTAAAAATATCATTGTAAATATCCAGAAGGTAAGCCAAACCCGTCTCAGGCAGAGATCTTATTACTATATTATCTACCTCCGTATATATTAGGTAAATCGGAAAGTTCCGTCCATCTAGCGGTGAGTAGATATAGCTAGAACTGTCGGTAACTCTAATGTCTAAACCGAGTTTAATTTTTTAGTTTTACTATCTGTCAATAAAATTCAGTATATAAAGGTATACGTTCGCATCAATAATATTGTTTCATACTACAACGAAAATGTCGAAATCTGAGCCAAATAAGCGTCATTTGCGCGAAGTGTTAATCTTTTGGTTCAAATGGAAGAAAACTGCAGCTGAAGCTCATCGAATGCTTGTAGAAGTTTATGGTGATAATGCTCCTTCCGTTAAAACATGCAGAGAATGGTTTCAACGCTTTAAAAGAGGTGATTTTGATGTGAAAGACAAAAAACGTTCTGGACGGCCAAGAGCATTTGAAGACGAAGAATTGCAGGCATTGGTGGATGAAGACCCATGTCAAATGCAAAAACATCTTGCAGAAGTTTTAAATTGTGTTCAATCTGTTATTTCCGATCGTTTGAAAGCCTTGGGAAGGGTCTACAAGGAAGGAAAGTGGGTCTCATATGAATTGAAGCCAAGAGAGATTGAAAGGCGAAAAACCATCTGCGAAATTCTGCTTGCTAGGCAACAAAGAAAGGGGTTTTTACATCGTGTCATCACTGGGGGTGAAAAATGGATATATTTTGACAACCCCAAACGTCGAAAAACCATTTGCGACTCCGACCAATCCTCAACATCGACATCAAAGCGGAATATCCACGGAAAGAAGGCAATGCTCTGTATTTGGTGGGATCAGAATGGTATTGTGTACCATGATCTTGTCGTGCCCGTGTTGCCAGGACACGAAAAGAGTTCGAGATCGGTGATGCGGGCGCGGCAGGGTGTGTGGCGGTGGATAAAATGTAGTAGAAGTTTTGACTACTTCTTGTAGTGTAAAATATAAAAAGGTTTATTTAATTTGTACACTTGTATGAGTTTTAATTACTACTCCCGTACTTATGAGTTAATATGCGAACCGCGCGTAAGTCACGTATGACGCGTATGTCGCGGCGAGAGACCGAGATGTTAAGCCTTACGCGAGCGGTCTCTCCGCTTTTTTATAGTATTGTTTTAGACTTGTCGGAGGGGGTGCCTGGCGACAAGAACATTACCATATTTGGTAATGGTGTAATGCGTTTGGAATTGAGGTCCTAAATGCGGAATGTGCAAGGTGGTGCTTATCGCAGCACTTGCACATCGCTTCCTTGTTGTGGCGCAATTGAAACAATTCCTCGAGAAGTGTTTCGAAAGCGCTGGTACTATTCGCGATTATAACAAGCTGTTAAAATCTGGTCAAACAGTCACAGAGCATCTCTACCGAGAACAAATTATCCATTTGAGCCGAGCATTGCACAAAAAACGACCAGAATATGAAACGAGACAGCATAAAGTGATTTTGCTTCATGACAACGCTTGGCCTCACGTCACAAAACTTGTCAAGGAAACGTTAGAAGCACTTCGTTGGGAAGTGCTACCCCATGCGGCTTATTCACCAGACTGTGCCCCTTCCAACTTCCACTTGTTTCGGTCAATGACACGCGCACTTGCTGAGGAACGCTTCAATTCTTATGAAGACGTCGAAAAATGGGTCTCTGACTGGATAGCCTCCAAAGATGAGTCATTCTTTCGCCGCAGAATTCGCTTGCTGCCCGAAAGATGGGAAAAAGTCATTGCTAACGATGGACAATATTTTGATTGACGTACTTTTTCATTTTCTTTCTTAAATAAAACCATACTTTTTGCAAAAAAACGGACGAAACTTTCCTAATATAATAGGAATATAGGCTAATATAAAATAATTATAATATAAAGGTGCCATAGGAGCGTCTAGTCAAATATATATATATATATATAAATATATAATGAAGTCTTTCTATTTTGCAATGATAATGTAATAGAATAATGAAAAACTATTTTTCTTGCTTTATTATTTTATTCATACAATAAACAATTTTATGAATAATGTACAATCTCATAGCGTGTAATCCACATAGACAATATTATTAAATAAATATATTCATAATATTGATTTCGGATTGCATTGTTTCTTGAAAATGTGTATACTTTTATTGTGTATGTTTTAATTGTGCTCTTATGCTCTTAAATTTAATAATTAAGCGATTCAAAATTATATTTTAATAAAAATTTTTCAATCTCCCGCAAACACGTTTTACACATATATGCATTAATACATTAATAGAGTTGTCAATACAAGTGTATAAAACATGTAGAATCAAACTGTTCAATAGTATTTTGTACTTTGTAATAAACACATACTGTATTTATCGCGATCGTACGTGTATTTAAGTGTACTTAAACCTACATACTTATATATTTAGTTTATTTATTTCGAGCACTGCAAGCACTTGCATATAATACTTCTCCTTATTCTAGCTTAAAATACTTTGTACATTAAAATATGAAAGCCTCTTACTTATTATCTATGGATGAACCATGAACGTTGTAGTATACAAGGACTCGACATAATGACCCATATTCTGAATCCTCTTTTATCTATAAAAGTGTTTCTAAAAGAGGCTTAGGGACCACTTGATTTGCTGAGCTGAGATTCAAGGCACTTTTATCGATAAAAGAGGGTTCAGAATATGAGTCAATATGTACAGCCTCTCTGTTCTCTATCTCTTTCTGCACAAAATGTGCAGTAAAATTTAAGTAAGACTTTTACTTGCTAGTCTAGTCGGGGTGTTGTCTATAATATTATGGAAACGAGAAATGGATACACGCGCAACAAAAAAGTGACAAAATAGGAATAAAACTATAGCCCCTCTATTCTTGCTCTCTTTCTAGATGTTGGCTTCACTCTATTAGACGACAGAACATAGAGCATTCGGAGTCCATGTATACTATGTCCATGGGATGAACCGAGTTTGTAATCTCTTTTTTCTTGTTTTCCAGATATTTGATTGGAAGGAATGAGAAACGCATATAAAGTTTAGAAAATAGACTCTTCATTTGCAACAGATAGAGAACTTTCACAACATGATAAATATCCCATATTTTTTTTGCATATAGGAAATCTGTCGGACTATTTTATAGGTAATTGCACTTCGTTGTGTCAGAATATAAATCTTCTTTTGTCAACAATAATCGTATCATTTATAACAATGACTTCGTGTTTTTATATATGCACTGTTATAATATAAATACATACTTGTGTTATCTTATATATGGCTCTGTATATCTCTAAGACACAGTGGACATTTTATGATACGTGCAAAAATACTCTGATAACATAAAATTAGATGCTTAAAAAGAACGTTATATATAAATCTAATTTATACTTTGTTCGCTATTTGTATATTTACTGAATATTTATAAAGAACCTTAAAAAAAATTCTTATAAAATAAATTACGCGTTGTGGTCCGACAATTTTTCTCTCAAAGATTTCATTAAAAATTATGAAATATGCTTTAAAATCTGGCAGTTTAATGAAAAACATTAAGCACTAACAGGTCGCGTATCTCAAAGTACAAATTCATTAGATATAGTCTAGAATCAATCCAGAGATTTGTTTTGTAAACTTACAAATACACTGGTTTACAAAAGAAAACTGTTTTTGTCACACACATAAAAATAATTCAAATTCAAAATTAAAAAATTAAACAAATTTTTTTTATCACCCAGGGTTTTCCAGTGATATAATCTTACATAACTGTCATAAAAAAACTGTAAGTGAAAAATTCGGAATTTATTTTTAGATTCTATATGTATAAAAATATATAAGAAACACATTAGAACTTTTCATGTGACAAATTACTTTGTTGACCAGTGTATTTATATATAATATATAATGTATATGATAGTGTAATGTATATGATGAGTAATATATAATAATATATAATATATATAATATATAATATGAATACTTATATATTATATATGAGTTTACATTTGTTCCCATTTTATGTATAATATAATTCATTGTTTCCCAAGAAATTATATATAAACAGGCTCTCAGATATGCAACTAGGTTAAGAGAAAGACGGTCAGTAAAAGCCAAACGCGGATATTAGTGCGATAATTTTAAATCGCGGGAGGATAATACATTTGAACGTGTAATGTGATGCATGCGCTGAGTAGTTTTCCATTATTAATATTGATGAGTGCACCCCACCACCCATTTCTAATTAATTTTTATTAATTAACCAATTATGGTTAATTAACAAAAATTCTCCGCGAATTAATGTAGAATTTGTTAATGGAATGATTTAAGATTATCTTACTAGCACACATCCGCGTTTGGCTCTTATTGGCCACCCTTTTCTTAATTTTGGTTTTCTCACGTTATCAAGCAGTGAGTGCTTTGTGTCGTGCGTTTTTTCTCAAGAAACACAATAAATCACAATTACTAAGATATCTTTCTTGCAATGATAAAAAGAAACACAATAAATCACAATTACTAAAATATCTTTCTTGCAATGATAAAAAGTGCAATGATTAGTCAGCTTGAATAAACTCTAATAATGGCATATAAATGCATGGATTTGTGTCTTGACGGACGAGCATCCGTATTTAAATACCATAAGAGTCATAATATATTACGTGATTATATAATTGTATAAAAGTAACGCGCGCGCACGTCTTGTGTGTTAGTCTTATTCTTTACATATACGGTAAAAATACGTTAAAACAAGTTACCACACCTTCACATGATTCTACATTTTAAATATTTCTCTTCTTTGTAAAAGCAACTGTCCCAGTAGATTTGTGTAAAATTGTGTTTGTACAGTGATACTGTACGCGTGAAAATCCAAAGGAATGTACCCCCATTAGTCTCTAAATTAGTCTCATTAAATATGCGAGGTGATAAAATATGTAAGTGAAAGTAAATATTCTGGGATTATCAAAAAGAGCATGTGTACACAAAAGACTACTAGAAAGAACGCATAAATATTAAATACTTATTCGTTCATCGGTGCCAATTCGTGTTGTCCGTTCGCATTGTTGCTGGAACCTCCAATTTGTGCTAGTGCGAATTGGCGCCACTTTCCGTTCTCACCGTTCAAGTTCTTGTCTTCACATATGCACAAAAATAATGTGTCGATGACAGTCTGGAAAGTGACAAAAGTTTTTTTTTTTATAGTGTATTTAATTACTTAATAAATTGAATTGTGTTGATTACTTAATGAATTGAACACTAATGTATTTGATGATTTGAACATATCAGTTTTGGGAAAAAAAAATATATATACGATGCATAACTTCGTAGAGTAACTTTAACTTCACATGTACGTAAACTCACTTCGTAAAGAGAAATTATACAATGGGCAATGAAAAATGAGAAAACGCAAGTCACGAAGATCGGGGCGGCATAGAAGTGTAACCTCGGGTCTTGCTTCATGAAAATTAATCCGATACTCCCAGTCGCCGCCGTGACGAAACATTTTCCCAGGAACAATATAAAATCGCCGAATCCGTTGATCACTGCTATTTGCAAAGCATTACTAACAAGCGTATTAAAAGCCTGAAAGAAAAATAATATATATTTATATAAATTTCTCTTTATATACCATACAGTTAATGATAACACTATGTAAAATATAATTATTATATATAATAATCTATATTTTGCACGCACGCACGTACGTACACATGATTAAAATGTTTTTTTTTCTTTAGAGAGTCTATGCATATATTAAGTATTACATGGTTATATTAGAACGTACTATTCTGGCAGCATTGCAGAAGTGGGTACCCTCTATAGCGACGACGGTGTACGCATTATGATTCATGTATCGAATAAATTTCTCTAAGCAGTAAAAGCAACAAATGCAAAACTTCAAACCGCACTGTGAGCACGGAGACGTTTCTTTAGTTTTCTCAAATCTGCGGAGTAAAATGACAAAAGCAGTAGCAACATGTACGAAGTCAAGGACTTGGATGGATCCTTCCCATTTACAAAAGGACTTACTTCATATGCAGATATGTTAAGATCAGCCTAGGTAGTTTGAAGATCGTTATTAAAAGCGAACCACATGCTATGGAGCCTAAGTGATAGCAAACCAAGTGTCCTATAGATGAACACACTGGAAATGTGTTGGCGTTTTTACCTCTGATGAAAGGAAAAGAAAAATGCAAATCGTTAAAATCATTGTCAAAGCTGTAAAAACATGAACTATAAAAATGACAAAGTATTACCTGAAATACCAGTGCGCAACAGCACCCGATATTACCATAACTTGACACCCAACGATGAATTCTGACACCCATATCAGTCCTATGAGATACACCCACCACATGTACTTCACCCACGTTGCGTCGACGTACTCCACGAGGGTGAACGCTAAAGTGTTTAACAACTTGTTACTTTTATCTCTTTTTTTTTTCTTTCTCCATCAATGATGCAGGAAGTATATTGGAGTGCGTGATACGTTACTTTTGAAACTATCAAGGGAAAAGTCTATCTTCTTCTCCTCGACTAAAGGACTGTTTTCACCGACCGAACTTAAATTCAAAGGCTCGAATATGTTGTTCTTGTACATTTGCACTGACTTTGTTTCCGGATAATCTGCAATAGAATTTTCGCATAGAGATAATTTATATATTGTCTATAGTACAAGATAGCCCACTGATAAAGGCAAGATACTCACTAGCTGTTGCGAGACAGAGAATTATAGCTACCCAAAAGGCAAAGAACAGTATCAAAGCTATGAACGTTAAAAAAGGCTGGAAAAATAGGCCGGGTAATTCTGCCAGGCACTTTGCGCTTTCCTTGAACAGTGCTGCCATAAAGCTTATACGTTTACGTAATATACATGCGAGGAACAATATGATGACCTGCAAGATGAAGAGATCGTTAAAGAGCTATGCTACTTAAGATGTTAAATGGTATTTGTTTATATTGTTGAGTCTCACTTACAGTAATAACAGTAGCAATAATAGAAAATGCAAGGAATGCTCTTTCATTTCTAACAGACTCTTCCAAAAGTTGATTTGGATCAGTCTTGTCCAATGTTTTTTTAATATCTATATATGTCCACCATAAAAGTATAGTACCACCTAAAATAAAAGTTTTTTATTTGTTGTGATTTATCATATATGATAATTTTCAATATCATACACAAGTTAAAATTTGTTCTTCATAGTCATGTATCATATTATATTAAGTTCATTTTACAATTAAAAAATTACTTTTTTATATATATGTTCTTTAAATATATATTTTATAAAAGTAATAATTAAATCACTAATATAAGTAGTCAAACAATAATTAGATTTACTTTTACATTCGTTTCTTCTTCAATTTCTTCTAAAATACGTTTATTTACTTTTGAGACACAGTAATCAATGATAATTTATCAGAGATAGACAGATAATATTTAAACGATTTAACAGTTTAACAATGATTTGCAAAAGTATCGATTTCAGAAGAACGTGCTCCATATTCTTATTCCAATAATAATTCTCATTCTGAGACATACACATATATAAATTATGTTCTGCTATATCTTTTCACAATATTGTCGCTGCAAACATCATTTGTTTACATAATTAATTCATAAAACAATCTAACTATTCTCCAGAAATGTTTTCTTACATTAATACTTCTCGATATTAACTTACCTACACAAGCAATGCTTACGAGCACTATTACGATCCACGTCACGATGTTCGCCAGCAAATGAAAGATGGCTATCATAAAAAGTGATAAAACTAAAAGGGAAAACTCGATAAGTATCCAATAGATCTTTTTCTAAGTCGTAATACAGCAATATGTAGCAAATTCTCACCAAAGGCCAGAAAAGACAACGCTAAAATCTCCCGCCAGGTTTTGTACAAATCTCCCAAGACTTGCTCAATAACGTCCCACGAATTAATCAAGCCATACAAATTCGAGATTATCGTTTCTCCCGCATCTTGAATCGCTTTAGGAATACAGCGATTTAGTACTGGTGTACTGCTGTAAACAGGCAGCACAGGACAAGATCCATTCTTGAATTTGCTACTGCCGCTGTTACACGCGCTGAAAACACTGCCGGGTCTATCGTGGCATAATTGTGATCCCGTTTTTCCATAAAAATCACAGATATCTTTCATTGAATTCATAGTCCTATCGGGACATTGCTTCACACAGATTTTTAGTGATTGCGTGACGTTATATATATCCAAAAAAAATAGAAAACTGAAATGTGACATAATATAAATTTTTAGAACACATTGTCATAGGAGATGAATAAAGAGAGAGAAAGTATGAGATATTAACGGTTTGTCACTAGTATCCTGTCCAGAGAGCTCCATGCTACCAAACTTTGGATTATTTTTCATGCCACATGTATTTCCAAAGCTGTCGTATCCATTTATAAGACGCAAGGGATTGCCATAGACTACAGCAAAGGCTGCGATCAAGATCTGAAAATGATAAGTCATCACATATTAAATCGCAAACTTAAAAAAAGTTTATTCATGGGTTACTAGGGCTGGGTAAGTTAATTTTTTTTAACTAAATCAAGTTTAAAGTTAGTGGTCTATAAAGTTAATTTTAGTTACGTTAAAAAATACATAAACTAAAACAAAAATTAAAAGATAAAATTAAATTAAATTATTAAGTTAAAAGTTAATTAACTTATCAAAGTTAAAAGTTAATTATACAGAGCAATATATATGTTTTTTGCATAAGTTTTTAATTAAAAATTAAACTTACATTAAAAGAATAATAAAAAAGTAGTTGTAAGAAAGTAGTTTGTAAGAAAAGACTGTTTTATGTTCAGAATTTTGCTGGCATTAACTTTTAATTAATTAAATGGTTATTACCCAACCCTGTTTATCACATATAAAAAATAATTAATAACAGCTTCACAAACATTTCAAGTGTCTTTTCCTCAAAGAAACTGAAATTTTAAAATGCAATCTAGATATATTCACAAGTCTTTTTAATACTCTATCAAAAACTATAGTTAAATTAATTCAATTAGATTTAGCTTCAATCGTAATTATTGTTAGACTCGAAATATCGCTTCCTTTTAAAAAAATCAACGCGCGGTTCACAAGTGTACACAATGAACACCACTTTTGTATACCATCAAAAACCAGAATGCTATGAAGAGGCAGAGCCAGAAGATGTCGGTGCAGCCTCGCACTCGCGTCGGCTCGGCGCGATCCTCATTCTTGTCACTGGTACAACAGGACATCTCTTCTCTGTTATTGTCCTGCGAATCGCCGCTATATCACTAAACTACGGCACTACGCTAAAGACGTTCGTACACGGAGTTGTTGTTATGTCGTGCGTCCTCGATTCAGGATGTGTCGACCGCAGGAGTACCTGCGACTGTACACGTCCAGTGCCGTAATCGTGACGTAACCGAGGAGGGCATCAAGACGTTTATCGTAATGTTGAATATGTGTTTAAATCTGCATAACACGAGTAATAATGATCTCCATATGCGTTGCTGATTGAATGAAACACGATATTTACATGACAAATATATGACAAACTCGAACACACTTATCAGATTCACGCTAAAGTAACAAATGACTAACGTTAATCCCACTCCTCTGTTTTCTTAAAAGAAAAGTTTCAAGCTTATTCATTTAACTCTTCACACTGCGTAATAACGTAATTCATGATTGACCAAAACAAGAGCATGAAGATTAAGTCAAGATCTCAAATAAAGATTAGTGCAAATTCAATTAATGATACGGCGTTGAGTGATAATTATCGTCAACAGATGGAACGTTCGCTGATAACTGCGTCACTAATTGCAGTAGAGGGGGAAAGGATATTTTCATTATAGAGACAGCCCTGGGAGTCGCGTTCCGGCGGCGTAGTATCGTTTCCACGGTAACGGGAGCGTATGTACGTCACATGAATCGTCTCAATGAAGGCGCCGACGAGGCCGACTAAGGGCGAATTCACACCTTGGCAGAAAAGTCCGAAACAGAAAGGTAGAAGCCAATTATAACTCGTGTCGGTGATTAGGTGGTAGTTTTTGTTTTTCTACCAACGCAAGTTTAAGTTTGTTTTGGACTTTTCTGTCAAGGTGTAAATTCGCTCTTACTCGGCCTCGTCGGCTTCTATCTTTGTTTTCGGCTTTTTTGCCAAAGTATGAATTTGCTTAATATATATTTATAACAATACAGTATAACGGATACCGGAGAAATACACGAATTATTGAACATATATTAACATGTATTAATATTTATCAATATTTTGCAGAAGTAGGAGGTTATGTTTTCACTCTATGATATTCACGCACGCACAAATCGGACTATTTAATAAATGGTCGTTCAGGAAATATATTTTTGTTCAGTGAGCGTTCGTTCAACGGTTGAGTAATTAGTGGTGTTTCTTGAACGCATCGTAGACGTCGAAGGAAGATAGAATGATGTTTTTAGTACGAAAGTGTGCAAAACGAACTTAGTCATTATAGATCAAATTTTAATAGTGCTAACAAATGGTTAAAAGGATCAAAGACGCAAGTCTGCAACCGAAAAAAAGAGAAATAATGCTAACAGCAAGTTTCTCGAACGCACTCATGACAGCAACAGATAACCGCGCCATTCATCCGCGCGAGTCGACGGCATGTTGTGGAAACATCGGTGGCTCTAACAAAACAAACGTGTCTGTTTAATCACCTTCCAGCTGTAAGTATCGCGCGATACATAAATATTACGCGTCGAGAATTTTGGGATCATTGTCGTCGTTGTTCGCTGTCGAGAGCATCGAGCAATCTGTCCGTCTTCCTTGATACATAACCTATTCGACGTGTATCTGGGGCACGATTATTAGTGATACAAGTGTCAAAATCGTTCAGTTTTGCTGGAGAAAGGGCCAATTTAGCAGAATTTTTTGCTAACCGCAGACTTCAGAAGAATTAATATGGAAAATGACTTTGACGAATGTAATTTGTGTTTAATGGTTGCTATCGGTCTTTCCAAATCTCGCTTGGACAACCATTGTTAACTAACTATTTCGATTTGTTTCGAAAAAGATAATAATCTCCCTATCTTCTGCTTATTGATATTTTAGTTAGACAAACGATGGATCGATAAATATACTTTAGCCAAAACTCAGTCTTAATTGCTTGAAGTTTTGAATCTATATTTGGAAATTGAGACCGTTGCTGATCATATTTTATGTTGTCTTGTTTAATAACGAGATCCTTATACATTTGTGGAAACAATAGAATAGTACTTGTATAATAGTTTGTTATAATCTACATATCAAGATTTAAGACAATTTGATTGTTCAAGGAGGTTAAGTATAATATTCTTAGGGCTGATTGTTCCAACCTCTTGGTAAGTTATCTAACAGTTAAGTCATGTGTCTGTCTCTGTTTAATTTGAAGAAAAAACAAAAACAGATATATGATTTAACTATCAGGTAGCTTAGCAAGAGATTGGAACAATTGGCCCTAAGACCTATATTCATAGTCAGATCTTATATTTAAGACCATCTTAAGTTCATTTTTAGATGCTATACAGATTATTTCATTGGCTATAGAATATTTGAAGATGAACTTAAAACACTTTTAAGACACTCTTAAATATAAAGTCTGATTATGAATATTGACTTAAGAAGATGCTGAAGCTGAAAACTTTACCGACAGAATACTGACATTTTTCTGCAAAGTTTACGTTGTATTGGTTACACAGAATTACAAATGCTTTTACGCAATGAACGTACGTGCAAAAATAAATAGGAGCATTGCTTGATATGTGATGAAAATGAGTGAGAATATGTGAGAAAATTTTTAATGTAATATCTCAAGCTGTCAGCATAATATTTGCTTAATCCAAAAGTTCTACAGCTTCTATATACCGAAAGTGTGGATGCTCCAAATAGAAAATTTCTGAAGAACATTGCTCTACTTTCGCCTTTGCATTTAGAAGCTTAAAAATATCGAAAAAGTTTGCAGAAAGATTTTTACACATATATAGTTAGGTTTTCCGTTAAATATGGTAAAACAAAGTAACACACATTCATGTAAGTTCTGTGTATACAAAAAATACAAAAAGAATAGCGTGATTATGTTAATGACGATCGTCTCTGCATTATCAACATTGTTTGAGTTTGTTATCAACTCCAGCATCCCCTTAAATGGGTTTATAAATCTTCTGATTAGCTTCCAGTTATATTTAGAAACACTTGTTAATAAAAGTGGTTCAGAATAATAGTATAAAATACAAACCAAATATCTGTTTCTATCACTAAACTAATGTACATTTACAGAACTTAAAAAGAAACAGATATATTTGAAACTTGGTAGAAGAAAGGCAAGAAAATAATTAGTGCAAGTTAACACAGCTAGTTCAGTTAATTTAGTTAGTTCAGCAACAGAAGACAAATCTTTAGGTTGTATCACAGATTTCAACATTATATTTATATGAATCGTTTATGTATTATCTATATGATATATGCACAATTTTTTTGTATAAATAATGTGTGTAAACTGTATAGAATATTATAAGTTATATTAAAATATGCAAAAAAAGATAATTAGATTATGAGACAGTTATAGTATCTATTTTTAGTATCAATACTTGGTATTAATTATAAATATAATATTTAAAAAAAGATAAAATAGAATGAAATTTTTATTTCATTATGTAACAGATTGGTAGATTTATATATATAATTTTGAGAGGAGGTAAAAATATATTCAGAAAACCCTGTAGACTTTAACTTCTTTACAAACAAAACTATCATTTTTATAAATTTGTCAGGATTCTATGAAATAATGATACAAGCTTTTCTTAATGCTTGAGCAAAAGCCACATATTTTTTTTTATTTTTTAGGCTTTTGCGGTGTTCATACATATTAGGTTTGGTTTCCGGGTTTGAGCCGCGTGGATTCATCTTTGTTTGATTCCGACGTTTCGCGAACATTTCAGTCCGCTCATCAAGGAGGCATCGGATCATTCCTCCCTGATGAAGCGGACTGCAATGTTTGCGAAACGTCGGAATCAAACAAAGATGAATTCATGCGGCTCAAACCCGGAAACCAAATCTAACACATTTTTTTAACAATATTTATAAATTACTCATTGTTTACGTGAATAGTTTGCGTAGTTTATAAATAGATGTAGAGTACTCCACAATTTACATGTAAACACCCTGTTCTGTACAATTGATTGCTACAAACCAATTTCAGCTATGGAGGAGAATGGTGGAAAGAGAATGAGGGGCAGTAGGACGCGTGGCAGAGCTCGTGGACGTGCTCGAGGTCGGGCCAGAGGAAGATCTAAAAAGCAAGTCAAGGTATAAGCACTTTTTGAGTCATATGTATGCTTTAATGTATTAATATGCATGTACTAAAATTGTCATTAGGTTATTGAGAGCGACGATGAAGACACCACGCAGCAAACGGAAGAAACCACTATGGAGACTGCTCCTGTTGAGCCAGAGGAACAAGAAGTATCTGTGACTCAGCCACCTTCGATTGAACAGCAATTCGATCTGGAGGCTGATATATCGCAGTTGGAAGCGCCAACTTTTACGACTATTAACCGAGGACCGCCGGAGCCGATGCTCCGTCTGCGATGGGACCACCGAGTTAATCTCATTGGAGAGAAAGTATTGAATCCTATGATACATTGCTGCGACAAGTGTTCGAAACCTATTCTCATCTATGGCCGCATGGTATGTCTAATCGCAACGCATGACCACGATTTTTTCATTTGTCGCGTTGACTCTGCTTCTAATTATCGGATTGTGTTTTTAGATACCCTGTAAACATGTATTCTGCCTTTCTTGCGCCAAGCGAGAGGACAAAGTTTGTCCTCGCTGTATGGAGAAGGTATCTCGAGTGGAGCAGACGGGCTTGGGTACTGTTTTTATGTGTACACATGGCGGAACGAGATATGGGAACACGGGATGCAGAAGAACGTATCTAAGTCAACGGGACTTGCAGGTGAAATGAGACAGATATTGACCTAGACGCTCGTAAACTACTTTGTTATCTTTACAATTTCTCATGATGATGTTCATTGCAGGCTCATATCAATCATCGTCATATATCAGCGCCTCCGCAGCAAGTGCAGAGCATGCAGGTGGACCCACCTCAGTATGTGCATGCCAAATCGGAAATGGACGCACAGTTGACGAAGGTGTCCGCCGTGCCAATGCAGAACGCACGTCTTAAGTCTGTGCAGGCGCATATGGTGCCGCCGATTATGGGGAATGACCCGCGAGTAAACTCACTGGTGAATCAGCAGCCATTGGAGCAGCACAGGCAACAGCATAGCAGACAACAACAGTCTATGATGTCGATGCAGTCGGGTTACGCGCAGAATGCCGCGCCGCCGCCTCCGACTAACGCCCCTATGCGTACTAATCTCATTACCGTGCCTATCCAGGATACGTCTTCGTTGGCGACGCACGACCTTCATGCGCAACAAAGTCATCATTATTACCAACCGCCACCGCCGCCACCGCAAGTCAATTATGGTGGCTACAATGTGCCGCCACCAGTGCAGTCACAGACTCAGCAATATTACCCGCAACCACAGCATCCGACTCAGGTGTCTTACGTGCCGCCGCCACCGCCACCGCAGCAACAACAGTATGTATCGTCGGCACCGGCTTCTATAAGACCGTCGCCGAGCGGCTACATACAAGAACCTCAGTACGGTCCGCCACCTTCGCAGCAGCAACCTCCGCCGCCACCGCCGCAAGCTCAATGGTCGCAGCATCAGCAGCAGTTTTATAGGTAAAAAGAGAGAGAGAGTGAGAGAGAAAAAGAGAAAGAAAGAAAAAGAAGACGAGAAAGGACTGCCTCTGTGAATCGACATTGTATTGTGCGATGTAACGGTATGACGTGAATATCGAACAACTACAATTTATGTAAATGACAAATAGTATTTACATATACATATGTATTTAATAAGGACCCGTTACTCTCGCTATTTCTGTCAGTGAGATTTGGGCTTGAGATTTTGTACTTTTTTGGATGCAACACTTACGGTTGGAAATGATCGAATTTACACAAGACGCATTGCTAATAATAAGAGACGTTTTTATTACATAACAAAAGTGATTTACTTCTTGTCGTCCATCCCTCGATTTTTTCGATATTCCATTTTATCATTGTGTTCATTGAGAATATTGATATAGCATTGTACCATTTTAAAGACTGTTGTCCAATTAAGATAGACGCATTAATTATCTCTGTATGACATTATGAAAGTAAAAGGATTGTCTCTTGATAAAAGATGTACGAATTTTTTAAAGTGTTTTAACACTCGAAGTATTTCTACAATTTATTGAAAAGTTTGAAAATATTGCCATTTGTACCTTTCTTTCTTTTTTTTTTTTTTTTTTTAACAAAACGGAGCATGGTGATAATGAAATTAATGGCAGAAATTTGTCAGTAGAATTTAATATTATACAGATTGTAACGGCTGTAACTTATGTACAAAACTAATGATATATAACATGTACATATATATATACATATATATATATATATATGTTATTATTACATTATAGATTCTTAAAACATACCTCCTCTGAATTCAACAAATATTCGATCATTCACACTACTAACTTTGGCTTTTCTCTTTTCGTAGCGTGCGCAGTAATAAATATTAACGAATTAAATGTTATATAACAAAAGTGTTTAAAAGATTTGTTAATAACGCTACGTAAGCGGAAGGCCAAAGTTACTCAACACACACACACATATATTTCGAGAATTTTATTACGTCATACATAAAAATAGTATCAATTTTTTCCATTTTATCCCATCATATACATATCGCTATATATAACCACACTGTTCATTTTTTTATAATATCTTTGTTCCCTTTACGTTTTACATCAATCTTTATTATATTTACAAACTTGTCTGTGTAATTGTGGAGTTTTATGTACAGTACACCTTACTATTCGTTATTATTATTATTAGTCAAACTATGTTCCATATACTCCCATTTATGTTTATGTATGAATGTATATTTATAAATGAAAAAGAAATGTGCTATGCACTTCATAACATTAAATATACATTGGTATAAGATGAAATTATTAGTAACTACTATTACAAAACTAATAATTTCATTTTATATTGCATTCTGTAATATTAATTTAATAATTAACAAATTAAGAATTACGCTATCAAAATCAAAATTTTTATACATGATATAGAACGTTAGAAACTCCAATAAAAAATAGAACTTCTACAGTATAGTAAATAAATGTTATAAACTACGTTGTGATGATTATGATTTCAAACGTGTTACGCGTTGAAAAAATATATATGTTTAAGTTGAGATGCGAACGTAGAACTTGTTTCACAGCTAGCCGATTTCAACATATACATGTAAATCAGTAGCGGGATATTGTATTATACATTTTTAATAGTACAAAATTTCCTATAAAGTAAAATATTGAAATTTTGTTCACTTTCTTCAATTTCAATTTTACCCTAACTGGATTACATTTGCGCAGAAAGCATCTATTTACTATACGTTATTATTAAATTGCCATCGGACTTTTTGATGAAACAGTGCGCTCTAATCGTGTAACACTATTGACCTATGAGGTCGTCTCTTCATGTAAATATTAAAATCCTTGCATCATTCTCTCGCTGACTTTTAAATAATCTTTATGTAACAAAGAACATCTTTTCGTTTATTGGAAAGTAGCATCACAAGATGGAAAGATTGATCTTACATTTTCCATACTCTCAAAAATCTTCTAAAGATCATTATTGTAAACTGGCATGAATATGGCATAATAATCAATAAGGAGTATTCTGTGAAATTCGAAGCAGTTACACAAAACGACAACAAAAACGAGCTTAATCAACAGTATATAGAAAAATAAGTACTATATCGAAATAAAATGCGTCAAGATAGAGAATCATTATTTTTTCGCTACGCAGATAATTTGATTTTCTTTAAATGGCAGTATATCAATATCTTTATAAAGATTCTTGTATGATATTTCATCAATTACGGAGTTACGATAGACTCTCACGGCGTAGAAATTATATGAAAGATTATAAGTTTACAGCTCACGTAAAAGTAATAGTTATTGGCAATTTACAACGACGCTGGGGTTTTCTTTCATTTCTGATTCTCATAAATGTCAAAAAATATTAAACTTGATGTATAATTTTCTACGCGGTATTCTACTATTTCTTAATATAAATATCTGCACAGTACAAATAAGTACCGTCAACGAAATCTCTGAATCCTGTCACAAGTGTAGTGTTTTGACATCAAATGGACGCGTCACAAAGTGTTTAGGACACGTATCAACATGACGGAATGCAATTATATATATTCACGGTATAATATCAATTTCCACGAGACAGTTCATTCATTATAATGAGACATTATTATTCATTATAACCGACTATACTCGGCATAAAACTATACTTGAATCCAATTTAAACCATAGGTACAACACGATCCTTCCACATGCATAATTAAAAAAAAATATGCAATTTGGAATTTTTAGATCCATTATTGAGTATAGCCATATTACAAACCTGCTTCATACTCCTCTATATCTCTTTAGAAGTTTTCTGATATATTTAAAAACCTATTGAAATCAGTCAGTCTCGCGTGATCACGTGCTAGTAGGATGATTGTGTATGTTGACGTTAACTTGCGGAATAAGTGGAGATGCGAGCGGCTTGGGTGTGGTAGATTCGGGTATCGGTATGGAAACCGCGGGAGGGACTGGAGAGTGCTTCTTAGCTCTGTCCTGTTGCCAAGGTTTCGCGTTATCCTTACCTAGCCTCTCGCTGAGTGCTTTCAGTGCTATTTGCCTGTAAAGTAGAGACACACCAATAGAAAATATGAATATGTTCCTGCAAAATTCTGTCCCAAGATTGACATGTTGAATATACAAGCTAAGTTTTTGCCCAACATGTTGAATATACAAGCTAAGTTTTTGCATTGGTATCTTGTGCTTTATCGCATGACTACTCACCTACGTCGTTCGCTGTCGTGAGGATCTATACCGGGAAGATTAATAACTAAACCAGGTGGCGTGTTGGACATGTCAAACCTCCTGACCACTTTTCGGCAAAGTCCAATACGCACAAAGAATCCGTGAATGGTATTACTTACTACCGCTATCGGTGGTTGCAAAACGTTTGGGAAAAAACTATAAAGAACGTTCAAGGTAAAACAATTCTGTTAATGTTTTATGAGTTAAAGCCGGGAGCACACAGAAAAATGTAAGTAGTAAAACTTAAGCAGTAAGTTGACCAACACAGTGAATGATTCTTACGATCTAAAAATAATCGATTGTGATTTTCTTACTGCTTACGTTTTTCTATGCGCCACCTACTTTAGGTTTCTAATCCTTCATTGCAGTTACCTTGATTTATGACATCAGAAGCGAAAAAATACATAAAAAATTCTTGCAAGATACGTTGAACTAAAGATATTTGCAATCGATCGAATAAGCCTGTAAAATAATCTGAACTTTTACTCTAATAATTAATAATTATTAATTAACTAATAATTAATAAATAATTATTAATTAACTAATAATTAATAAATAATTATTAATTAACTAATAATTAATAAATAATTATTAATTAACTAATAATTAATAAATAATTATTAATTAACTAATAATTAATAAATAATTATTAATTAACTAATAATTAATAAATAATTATTAATTAACTAATAATTAATAAATAATTATTAATTAACTAATAATTAATAAATAATTATTAATTAACTAATAATTAATAAATAATTATTAATTAACTAATAATTAATAAATAATTATTAATTAACTAATAATTAATAAATAATTATTAATTAACTAATAATTAATAAATAATTATTAATTAACTAATAATTAATAAATAATTATTAATTAACTAATAATTAATAAATAATTATTAATTAACTAATAATTAATAAATAATTATTAATTAACTAATAATTAATAAATAATTATTAATTAACTAATAATTAATAAATAATTATTAATTAACTAATAATCAATAATTATTAATTAACTAATAATTAATAAAAAAGCTGTGAAGTTAACGTATCAAAATTATAAGAGAAGTTGAATAGGAAAGCTTATATATCATATTAATTTTACGGTTATTTATTGATTGTTCGATTAAAAAGAAAGTATTCGAACTATTTTACAAGTTTACTTGATCCATTGCAAGTGTTACTTTGTGAATGTATCTTTTTATTTCAACATATTTTGTAAGAATTTTTAGTGTGTATTTTCTTGTTTTTGACATCATCAATCAAAAGTGTGATGTTGTGGTAAGTAGCCAGAAGCTGTAATTGAATTTACAGAATTTTCCTTTACCTTGCAAACGTAAAATTATCTGCCATGTCTCCTCGAGTACCATTATTGTGCTTCTGATAAAATCTCAAATATGTCCAAGATATCAATAATCCACTGAGAAACATAGTGGGGTGAGTACCTTCTAGCAATCCTACAAGCCACAATATCAACCCTAGAATCCAGATCATTAAAGGTATATTTCTATTTGTGATCTTTCCAATGGGTGTCTTGACTAAAATATGATCTGGCATTATCTGCTTTACTGCTACTGAAACTCCTGTAATATAAAATATGAATTATGTGACTTCAGTTGCACATGAAAAGATACTTTATATTCATTGAATCCATTTGATACATGTTTAAATAGCAATAGACATTTGAAATTAGATAAAGATCATGTATGAAATTGTGGCCATCGCTATAGACTATAGCGATAAGAACATAGATTTATGTAAGAATTACATATGGAAAGTTATTGTGATTTAGACATACCTACTTTTATATGGAAATTCTCTCTTATTATACACGGAAATTAATTTTCTCTCTTATCATATATAGAGCATAAATGTCCTATAAGTGGTACTGTATTTCACAATTATATACTCTTTAAAAGATTTTGACATCTCTGCTTCAGGAATAGAAAAAGTAAGGTGCCTGAGATTATTTATATGTATAGGACATGAAAAATGCTTAAAAACAAATTGTGTGCCACTGCTCTAGGTTAACAATTATCAGTGTCAAATATCATTTGTAACATGCATAGGCAATGACAAGGCAAAATCAGACTGAAGAAAAAGAAGGTACCTGCAATGTAGCCGGCCAAGCCATGTATATGTATGTTGAAGAGCAGGTCCGTATTGTTGGTGCACATGTAAAGAAACAAGTAGAAGAGCGCCGAAAGTACGGCGACGCCGAAGTTGACGATGGCGAAGAACGTCATCATCTCCACGGCGCCCCAGAGCGGCTCGATCAACTTGCCGCACAGGCCGACGGTGACGATGTCCGCACACACTTCCCAGAAGTGTATCTCGAGGAAACAGAAGGTGAACGCAGTCCAGAACCAGAAGGCCGGCGGCAGCAGATAACCTGGCGTTACGCTCAGGATCCGCACCGCTTCCTCGGAGAAAGACAGACAATACGAGAACAGCACGACCACGCAGATAAACTTGACACTGGTGCTGGTGTTGCCTAGCAAGGCAGCTGCCTGTTGCCTCAAGTAGGGAATATTCCTACCCAGGCCCTTGATCGCCGCCATCCTACTGCCGAGTAGCCTCTGTGAACCCTAACCTCTCTCCTCTTTTCGGCGAAAGAAGAGAGAGAGAGAGAGAGGGAGAGACAAAACGAGAAAGGGAGAAGCACTCCGTTACTCGTGCTGCCGCTTGACGTTGGCTGCGAGTGCCGCAACGTTAGATTACCGTCGATTCGCGATATCGACGTATGACACCTGATTGGCCAATCATCTGTCTTGATCGAAGAAACGCTTGAGATAAATCAAACTTGCGTTCAAAGTTTAACGTCCGTCGTGGAGTTCATTTGCATTTTGGTTCTGAGAAAAGAGGATCGATCGTTGGTGTCGGATCGCGCGCAAAATTACAGATCTCTGTGAGATCGCGCGGGATGTCGAGTAAATGCCGCTGTTATTCCGTAAGTTGTACTCAGAATCACGTTATTTTACGTCAGAAACTTCGACAAACAGAGCGTAGCGGTTTCGATCGGCTATCTTTAACCTGTACCTTTCTACGAATGCGTATATCGAGCTATATATTCCTACGAATTGTCTTCACGTAACAATATTTTTACCTGATTCTACGTTAAACGGTATGATAAAAATAACTTATATATAATACACAGAAATAAACTTTATACCTCTTTATAGACAAATTTTCAAGTATTTTTTTTTTAGTGTAGATTCGTAAGCTGTAAGGTAAAAGTGCCCGGATATTGAGAGAAAATACTTGAAAATTTATTTATGGAATATTAAGTTTATTTTAGTGAAATATATTTTATATTTATGTGAATGAAATTTATATCTCACAAATAAATCTACAAATATTATTTACGCCATGTACCTAATCCTGAACATTCTTATTATTTTGTTCTTTAAATACGAATATTTAAACTTTCAACATAAAAAGAAATGTACATATAGGGCGAGTTTTTTAATTCATTGATGGATCCATCGATGAATTAAAAAACTCGCCCATAATTGGACACACACACACACACACACACACACACACACACACACATATATATTTTATGTGTGTGTGTTAAAAGTTTAAACGTTTGTATTTAAAGATCAAAACCATCAGAATGTCTAGAATCAGGTACGTGTCCGGATAATGATATCTTTTACCTTATTTGGTTTCTCTTCGTGACTGTGCGACCGTTTGTAGGTAAATGTCGGGAATTGCTCGACGACTGCAACGTGGCGACTCACTGTGGGAAGTCGTTTAGCAAAAATTGTCACGCACGTTTATTTCCTACCGCGACGATAACTTCCCCGTTACCTACCGATTCTTCGATTTCTCGGGAGTCAGCGCAATCTCGAAGCCTATTTTCGTACAAGTGACAGTTTAAATCTGCGACTCACTGGCGCCATTCCATTGTCGTCATTGTCGTATCGACGACGACGTGATACTTGCGAATCCGTTGCTTCAAGGAGAAAATTGTGCGAAATTGTTGCGGGAGTAGCAGACCTTCGCGGAGGCCGTTTCAACAGGTAACATATATTTTATGCAAATATATTTTATACAGAGAATACATGATACATTTAATATAAAATATGTATTTTTTAAGAATATTTAATAAAATGTATATATTGTAAGAGAGAGGAAAATTCAATATAAAGTTCACGTACTTCATAAACCCTCTCTCTTCAAGCCTAATATATTACATTTTTTTCTCGATATTTTAATCAAACATTAACTATACATTTACTAGACTGCAATTTATACATAACACTAAAATTATATAAAATAAGAAAATAAAAGTTATATTGATAGTGAGAGTATAGATAAAGTTAGTAAGTGACAAATACTCATGAAATTGCTTTTAGTCATCACTTTTCTAAGCGCGGAATGTCTCCAGATCAGTAACATTCCACGCTTAGAAAGACGATTGCTTGATTAATTTATATAAATAAAGTTAAATTTCCAATCTCTCTTTATTTAGATAAAACTTTATCGAATCTCAAATAATAGTTCCGTTTAAAATGCTAGAAAAATTAATTAAAGAAATTTTTGAAGTAATGAGAAATTAAAATTAACTATTTCGTAATTTTATACGTAGGTCGATCAATTGTCAAGCTTTGACGAAGCAAATGCTTTGGCGTCCTTGAACTGTACTGCCCGTCGAATCACGCGCAGAATCCGAAAGTAATAACGACGTTAATTGCGAGGTAATTAACGAAAGTTGGCCGATATCTCGCAAACCAGAGCAACAAGAACGACCGAAGGAATATCGAGGAAATTGGAAGGAAATTCAGTCGCATCTCTACGAGGAAAACAGAAGCGAAGTCAACCGCAGAATGTCTCACGCTCAGTCAAGGATTCGAATTGCGGTGGAGTAATGAGCAGCCCTCAGAATCAATTAAGGTAAAAAGTGAATTATCTTGTCTGTTGTCTTGTGTTCAAACATCTCGCAACAACATTGAATATAAAATATTCTCTACAAAAGTATTCAAAATAGTTGAATTAGTTGAATTAGATCATGAGTTACAGGATACTTTATATAATCTAAAATATAGTTTCGTTGAATGATTGCTTTCAATCTTCCGTGGGAAATTTTTTATCTCTTAATGGAAATAAATTTTTGGATACATAGTTTATAACAAAAAAAGAAAAATAGAAGATAGAAAGAAGATGAATTAAGGGAATAATTTTATTGTTAATATAATTTTTATTCTTTAGTTTTAAAAAATTTTCTATTATTAAACAATTTATATTATATATACTATGCAATTTTTGCTGGATGTATAGTTACACCAAAAAGAAAGAGTTGAAGATAAAAAGTGAGTTAAAAAAAATTTTGTTATTAAAATAATTTTTATTCTTTATTTTTCTTTAATTTTCTTATCGATAGACAATTTACATCATGTATACTTTGTAATTAATAAATAATTTAACTTGTAAATAATTTTTCAATTCTTAATTAAAATCATGATTCTTGCTGTGTATATAGCTGTGTTATAACAAAAAAAGAATAAAAGATAAAAGATGAGTTAAGAAAAATTCTGTTATTACCATAATTTTTATTTTTTATTTTTTCTTATCATTAGACAATTTACACCGCATTTTTTATTATCGCATGTAATTTTCCATTTCTTAATTAAAACCGTAATTCTTGCTGAATACACAACTATAAAAAAAAGAAGGGTAAAAGATAGAAGATAAATTAAGAAAAATTTGGTTATTAAGATAATTTTTATTCTTTATTTTTAAATTTCCTTATAATTAGACATATATATATATATATATATATATATATATATATATATATATATATTTTTTTTTTTTTGCTTCCATGTTACTTTCATGGAAACTTATCATTGTAAGAAAAATATTGTAATTACTTCTGATCGCAAACTCATACTTACGTACGTAGTATCTACATGCGTAACTGCTTGCATCACAATCGTGAGCGGCCAAACGAGATAGAATTGAGGATTGTGAGCACAGATATTTCTAGTACGGGCGAGAATCGAACGAGAGTGACCCTCTCCACCTGCGAGTCTGCTACCTCCCGCGAGTCTAGGACCGCCGTTCCCGATATACCAAGACGAAAGTGCTCGTGCCTGCCGTTAGCGGTGGCGAGTCGCAACCCCTGCGTACCTTCTCGCAGACGAGTGTCCTTCAGCGACGCCGTCGTCGATCACGATCGCCGGACGATCATGCAAAATGACCTGACGTGCTCACGTCACGATAACAGTTGTAGGGCCGATAACGGCGAACGGGAAACATTCTACGACATTTGGCAAGCGGATGATTCTGTGGCTGGCAGGAGCGACGACGGATACGAAAGCACGCCAAGGATCGATAATTACTCAGAAAACCGCGTATCGGGTTACACCTTCAACAAAGGCCGAGATTCGTCGGAAAATGTCGACGAGAACGTCGTGAGAGATGGACGCATGCGAGACACGCAGGATGGCGACGGCGAGAGCGACGTTCGTTCAGCGGATCGCGTTGCCGAAGACATGGAGGAGAAAATCGAGTACGAAGACGGTACTATGTCGAACGAGGATGTATCTAACTCCTTCAGCTACAAGGATGTAGACTCGATCGGCCGTGACGAGTGCCGCATGCGAGGAGGTTGTGGTGGATGCTGCGGAGCGCCACGCGAGAAGTGGGTTTAAAGTGCATTATACTTGAAACACGTTGGATGAAATTCGGCTGTATTATTTATAATTCTATCTTGGCAAACGTATGTTATGATTATGGAATGAGATTTGTGATAAGTACGAAAAAATCCGCAGAATAAATATTTAACTTCTTCAGGGATGAATTGATTAAAATCTGGAGAAAATTACTTAATTTTTAAACGACACTCCGGTTAACAATGTGACGAGATATCTTTTCCTTGAAGAATTTTGTAGTAAATATTTAATTATAATAATGTTTGTTATATTCTTATCGACGATGTTTGAATTCAACAAGAAAAATTAAGAATGTGTCTAAACGTATACATATGTATCAGTACCCTTGAAGAAGTTAAGGGGATGATGAATACCGACATAATGCAGTTTCGTACTTTGCACTTGTTGTTCATACTTTGTACTTGTTTTTCTATTTGGTAGCATAGAATTGCAAATCCTTTTCCAGAGTGGAAGTACAGATGTCGACACATGAAAAGGCATTACATATTGTATAAAAAACAAAAAAAAACATTTGTAAGTAAAATAAATTTTTTTAGTTTTGATATACTATTTGATGCTTTTTTATGCATTGAGATATTTGTGCTTTCACCCTATAAAAGGATTTGCAATTCAATGCAAATAGAAAAAAATATCTGAGAAAACATTATTATATGATATATATAATATTTTTATATATAATAACTATTATTGTATTATATATAAAACAACTATTTATGGCTATATTACTATATAATTATTACCTATTTATAACTATATTTATAATATAATAATATATGTATAATTATATATAATTATATAAAAATTATACATATATTATTATATATAAATTACATATGATATATACAAATGATCCATATACATATATACGAATTTAGTCTCTATATGGTCACATATACAGGGTGTTCAAAAAGTCCCGGACCGGTGAAATATCTCGAAAACTAAGCATTTTAGAAAAAAATGTTTCAGATAAAAGTTGTGGCGTTTAAAAAGATGTATTTACTGATCACATCAGTTTGACCTTGGGTTGCGTAGCGAAGGTCAGGTCAAGGTCACATTAATTTTTTTAAATGG